TCACCTCTAAAGAGTTCAGAAGAACAATCTGGTGTATGCATAATTCAGATTGCACAGCTCTAACCTGTGGATTACCCTGGCCATTATCTATGAAACTATTTTGGCATAAAAAGTTTAAATTACAATTTTGAATTTTTGGAGTAAAAATTTTTTTTATCTGATATCAGATAATATTTCCAGTAGATAACTTTTTCTGCCATCTTTGTCAGGTATAAATCCTGAGGTCAGAGAAACTGAAGCTAACAGCTAGTTAGCAAACTTTAGCAGCAATGATTTTGCTGTGTGAAACTCTGAAAGCAGATCATACAACACATTCCCAATCAGAGAAGCGGGTTTAATAAATACTAGAACAGTTAATTAATTACTATTATTATTTTTTGAACAAGCATGAACAACTAATAAGTGAAGGTGTCGTATTTAACCATTCAGTTAATTACTATCTATTGGTCTACATGGGTCAGTTCTTTTTTAGAGATGATTATTTGTTTTTTGTAAATATTCCCTTGTTGTGAATCTTAAAACAGTAAAAAGACTCAAATAACAGGGCTAATATAATATTATATATATATATATATATATATATGCTCCCAGAGCACCACACAATGGCAGCCCACTGCCCCCCAATGGGATAGGTCAAATGCAGAGGTTGAATATCCACATTGTGGGACAATAAAGGGATTTACATTTTAGGTAAGTGGTGGCCTAGTGGTTAGGACATTGCGCCTGGAATCCAGAGGTTCTGAGTTTAAACCCCCCTCCCACAGACTACCACTCTGGGTCCCTGAGCAAGACCCTTAACTCCACACTGCTCCCCTGGTGCCACACAATGGCAGCCCACTGCTCCCAAGGGGATGGGTTAAATGCAGAGTGAATTTCATTGCACTGTACTTGTGACAGTGTAATGACAATAAAAACGCTGGAAAAGAAAAAGATTTAGCAAAAAAAAAAATGTAATGTCACATTTATGTTATGTACCACATTTTCTTCAAATTTAAGGCTTTTTCTCTCTTTGTGGAAAATCAAAGATCTATAATAATCTTTTTAAACTACTATACGAATGGTACGTTTATTTCCAAATTTTAAACCTATTGAAATCTTACAACTAACAAATATATGGGAAATTTAAATCCTAAATATCCCATTAAAATATTCGGAAGATGCCAACTAGCCGTGCCTCTTCAACAGTTCAGTTTGTGACCACACTAATCGGAAAAGGAGGTGTCCTTTGAATGACTCCGCCCCATGCGTTGGGGGTGTGGCCACAGATTAAGCTGTTTGAGGTTCCTGTCATGCAGTTGCCATGGTGAATCGTGTTCCCTGTACTGCAGTGATGAGGGCTTCCTTTAAGCTTGTGCTAAATTTTGGACTTCACTAGCTGCTTCCTCCAAGGCCCCGGTCTACCGAGACTGGGTCCCTGGAAGGCCGTGAAAATAAGGTTCAAACAGGTCCAGCCTTCTGCACAGACTTTTGCTTTAGGGGACTTTGACAGCAGTCCCTTTTCTAGATCAACATGGAACCTTAGTAGATTCTTCGGGTACTAATAAATGTGGACACACATTTTCATTGTATTATTTTATTATAGGGTAAAATAAATGAAATCTGAAAATTAAAATATAATAACTTGGTTTTTTTTTTACATATGGTTTAAACAGGATAGTGGTTATAAAACATAAGAAAACTGACACAGCTTACATGAAACGAATCTTAAACATTTAAGGTTTTATAGAAAGACATTAAAAAAACCTTTCTACCCTGAGTGTTAGTGCCCCATTTCTCATATCTACAAATATAATGGCTCTAGTTGTTAGAAATAGATGAAAGAAATATGGAATGTAGAGTATTCATCAAGTATTAGTTAAAGAAAAATAAAAAAACAACATTGTAAGGTCACCTATTGGTCAGTTAAAGGCACTGATGCTTACCCATTCACATGAGTGCTACCATAAATGTTTTTTTTAGTGAAACAACCAGATGTAAAATAAAAGCCAGCTTTTACAGTGCAAAGTTATTTCTGTCTTCATGGTGCAACTAATTTTAAAATCAGTAGAGTACAATGTCTAAACACGGAGTTGTTGTTTTTTTTTTGACTCCTCTATATAAGGTTGCACATCTACATCTGTCAGTTCTGTTTATATCAGCAGTTTGAAACCAGCACAGTAGTGCTGTGGACTCATTCGGCAGTTTGTAAAACCCGACTTGCAAACAACTTAAAGCACACTGAAGCATCCCCTTTTAAATGCTTGGACACAAGAAAAATAATAGTGTATATCACACAGGGTTATTAAACATACAGTATTCCACTCTTTAAAAACCTAACAAGGAAAGATTATAGAGAAAAAATATTTTAAAGGGAGAAGAATTAAAGCAGGTGCTAATAAATTTAGTTTCACCCTTTAGAAACATGTAAATATTTGTGTTAAAGAAATATTCCTGTTAACTAATCAGGTTATTTTAAAGGTTTCACTGGATTTTATTCAGGGGTATCACAGGGAATACCGCAGCATAATTAAATGTTTACTTCTTCATTTTCATGGGAGAAGCTCTACTTTGTGTTGGTATATCACAGTAACCGACTAAAAAAAACATTTTTATGGTTTTGGTACCAGAGCTGTACCATAGGGATAACAAAAAAGAATCATAATATGGGCCTTTTGTCATAGTACATATTGACAGTTATTAGAGGTAGACTGATGTGATACTTACACCAAGGCTAAATCCTTTTCTCTGCCCAAATCTCCCAGAATGCCGTGCGATTGCCATGCAACCTCAAATTATATTCTAAGGATAAAGTATAATTTTTTATATTTATTTTAGGGCAGTGCCTTTTTACGGCAGCAAGGCCTCGGACCCCCTCCATGTATAATGTCTGAGTGTTTTTATCTTCTTGGACAGCTATACCGAAACTGAATTGCCCTTCAGGGGTTAATAAAGTCTAATTAAATTGAAATGTGGATCAGAGATCAGCAATATTATAATAATATTTATATCCCTTTGGACCTGTTTTCTATACATAAGGATTAGTTGTTTATTACAACACCATATTGTTTTATTTGGCCATTTGTTATCATTGTGACAATCATCTCAATATCTACGGCTCTGTGGGTTTAGCATTACTTCAAATCAAAGCCCAAAACAACATAAAATGTAAAGTTGAGTAAAAGAGATTTGCATATTGGTCAACAAGTGATAGGAGAAAGAAGCGTGTCAGACATGTTATGCAACTTCTCAGCTGGCCCTCAAGAAATGCTTCATGCCTGTGAGCAAATAGAACATAAGGTAGACACGTAAGACTCTTCATGGCTCCTAGACACAACACGGAAGTAGCTGCAAGATGCCGGCAGAGCTAGGAATGTTCTGTCCTGGGCTGCAGGCAAGTCACTTTGCACCTGCTAATTATAGTTTCCACTCACATTTTTTCCACAATAGAATATAAAAAAATGAGTCTGAAGAACCCTAGTCCCTGCAATCCGGTATCGCTCTTTCCTGGTGCTCTGTCCCGATTTAGTAAGCTGTCCCTCCAATCAGCGCTCTCCTTTCCTGCACTATCGAGCCTTTATTTAAGCTGCGATCCAGTCCTCTCTTTATATCCGTCACCATAACAACCACAAATGTTCTGACAGGTTTCCTGGCACTGCAGTGAGAGGTGAAGCCTCAGAGGGAGAGAGTGAGAGCGCGTCAGAGAGAAAGAGACAGAGCCTCCCACCCGACTCAAAAAGATAAACACAAATCTTGCCTCAGTATTTGTACGCCATGTTCCCAGAACATGAAGAGGCTTGATTTCCAGTTGAACCTTCAGCTCCTCCACTGATTCATACATTCATTTACATGATTGTCCACCATCTACCTTCAGGTCAGATCACATGGAAGACGTTATGAGGAAGACTTTATGAATAAACTGGCCGGTTAAGCTGCAAATGATAGGTTTCTAACAAATGACAAAGGCTTCATGTTTAGAACCAGAATAGAAATATACGGGGGGAATTTTCTCCATTACCGTTGCAAACAAAGAACACGTTTTGTAAATGGAAATTTGAAAAACAATAATGCTTGTTCACAAATGGTGGGGAAGATGGAGCGGGAGATCAATAGGCAGATTGGTGTGGCGTCTGCTGTGAAGCGAGCCCTGTACCGGTATGTTGTGGTGAAGAGAGAGCTGAGCCAAAAGGCAAAGCTCTCAATTTACCGGTCGATCTACGTTCCTACTCTCATCTATGGTCATGAGCTTTGGGTCAAAACCGAAAGAATGAGATCCCGGGTACAAGCAGCTGAAATGAGTTTTCTCCGTAGTGTCTGGGCTCTAGGTGAGGAGCTCAGTCATCTGGGGAGGACTCAGAGTAGAGCCGCTTCTCCTCCACATCGAGAGGAGCCAGTTGAGGTGGCTCGGGCATCTGAATAGGAAGCCTCCTGGACATCTCCCTGGTGAGGTGTTCCAGGCATGTCCCACCAGTAGGAGACCCAGAACACGCTGGAGGGACTATGTTTCTCGGCTGGCCTGAGAGCAGCTTGGGATTCCCCCGGAGGAGCTGGCCTAAGTGGCTGGAGAGAGGGACGTCTGGGCCTCTCAACTGAAGCTGCTACCCCCACGAGCCGACCTCAGATAAGCGGTAGAAGATGGAAGGATGGATGGATAATGCTATCCAGAAATGAAATATTGAAAAATATCCATCCATCTTCTCCTGCTTATTCAGTCAGGACCACAGTGAGGCCAGTGCCTGTCTCTGGCAGTCTATGGGTTAAAGGCGGGGTTCACCCTGGACAGGTATCCAGTCTGTTGCAGGGAAATGCAGACTTACAACCCATAACTCCTAAAGAGAATTTAGAGAAGCCAATTACTCTAACAGTCATGTTAATTCTCTTCGGAGTACCCGGGGAGAACCCATGCATACACAGGGAGAATATGCAAACTCTATGCAGAAAGACCTTGAGCAGGGAACTGAATCCAGAACTTTCTTGCTGCAAGGCAGCAGTGCCACAAACTGTCCCATTGTGCAGCCATTACATTTTTTTTTATCCAACAAAGGTTTTGAGGGTAACCTAACGGTTTTCTCAAATTTTTTTATTTTTATTTTTTTTTTCTTCAAATACATTTTTCAAATGTCTTTTTATGCCAAATTCTTTTTACAGGTTTAATATTGCACTCTTAAATAAACTTGGGGAAATCTGAAAGATAATTAAGTCAATTAAATCTTTTTACAAAGTTTCATGTCTGGATGGCTTTTTCCCCACCAATTTAATTTCCATGTACAAAACCTCCTTTTTGATTGCAAAAATAAAGGAACCAATTTCCCTCCATAGAGCCAGGATGAGCTCTGCTGTCTCAGTGCGTGGACTGGTGTCAGGGTGCTGGCTTTTAGGAACAGCTATCGTGTTGTTATGGCCTGGTCTGGGCAGGCCTCTGGGTTATGTCCAAAGGTCTGTGGGAGCCATGCCTTCTTTACAGTTCAGAGATGGCAGCAGGTTTTCCTCGCACAGGAATTTCAGAGGAAAGTGGACGAGCAGCCCTCTGATGGCCTTCAGCTCCTCTGCAGCCCGCGCAGGGTCTGCGTCGCAGAGCGGTTCTTGGCAGCAGTAGTTCCTTAGCAGATTCATGTTGTGAACGCTGTTGCATGGGAGGCATTTAAAAACCTAACCGAAAAAAAAACTCAAATTAATGAAGCAAAAATGAAGAATGTAAATCAGATGTCTGGATTCCTCTCTACCTTCTCATAAATAGCGGTGTTCCGTCTAGCCGTTTCATTCCAGGTCACGAAGAAGAAGTCGTCACTGATGGGATCGTCGATGTTGATGCTGGGGTCTGAAGTTGCTCCAACCACAACCCTGTTGTGACACAGATTCATAGTGTGTTTAAAATGAAAAACCAATTGGTGAAAACATATTTTGAACTGTGCAGTTGACCGTAATGGAAAATGTAATAGATTAATGACTTTTTAAATTTAATTAACAGCAATGCTGTATACCCAAACAGTTAAAATGAAAATAATTTTACACTAAAGGTGGCATTTTTTTTTTGAAGTTTGTGTAATTACATTATCTAATATAGTACAGTTCACTATTGTTCGTTTGAATGTATAAATGTTGGAGGTTTTGTAAACCCAAAGGGGGCTTCGGCAGAAAGAGCCTAGGAACCACCGTCTCAGATCAGGACTACAGTGTTCTAGCTCCGGCTGTATGTTTCAGCTCAGTCACCCACTTGAAGGTAGATCTCCCGTTTTTGGTCTCCAGTCTGTTTCAGCTTCTATCAGGTTTAGTTTAAGGATTTCTCTGTATTCATCAGACTTTGACCACGTTCTCTGATCCCGCTGACAGTGTTCCCACAGCATGATGCTCCTGCCTCCCATATTTTACCATGGGAACGATTAGCGTTAGTTTTCTGCCAGGAATAGCCTGATAAAAAAAATAAAAATACAGTGTTCATCTTATGTTACCTTGGCTTCTTTTGTCCTGTGTTGCAGTGTGCTCCGAGTTGACTTAACTCTTACAAGTATAGTGGAGGATATTCTCTTTCCGGGTGGATCATCAGAATAAGTGGTCCTCCTAACTGTCAGTCATTCACCAGAATGATTGAAAGCTGTCATATGTGGACGCACAGTACATACTGTATATATATCCCATGTACATTTCTCTCCCTTTGGCAAATTCTTCTTTGACTATTTGAGCTGATGTAACAAGTACATTTCTCCACTGTGAGATCAATAAAGTCAACCAATCAATCAATAGGCTTATGAAGGGCTGTCCTATGTGCTCGTCCCCATCTTCCCTTACCGATGGCGAGTCTGACAAAGTGGAAAAAATGCAAATCTTCTTTAGGAAATTAAGCTTGTATGAGTGATGCAAATAGCAACTTTTAAACAGCGTGCATGAGGAGAAATGAAATTTCTTCATTTAATAGACATTCCCTCTCGGTTGAGCATGTGCAATTTTTTATTTTTTAAAGTGGAGAGGGCGGGTCTCTTCAAAAATTCACAAAAATCCTCCGGTGTATCTTTAATAAAAATTGTTATAACTTTCTTTTGAAACCTGTCCTGCATTCAGTCACATGCAGAGACCCCTAGTGGATCTAGATGATAATGATAAAATAATTCACAAAAACTAAGCAGTCGAGTGGACGCTAGAGCAAACAGCAAGAAATCAATTTGATTTTATAGTGTGGAAAAAAAGGCACTATCCTTTAAGGAATTTGATGACTTTTAAAATCTATGGAAAATATTTCCTTTAAAGTGGTATATATGTGAAACAAAATCAAAAAAGTGCATTTATCCTTCCATTTTGATTCTGTCACATGAAATATGGAATGAATTTTGTTCAATTATTGATGCAAGCAAAAAACAAATTTTCGTAAATGGAAATAAAAATGCAATCTTGGAATTAAACTGAAAATCTTAAAAAGGTTTTGACAGTTATTTAGCTGTTTTATTCATTTTAAATGTTTTAATTTTTTTCATAATTTTTAAAATGCATTTTATTTATTTCAGATTGAGTTTTATCAATTGCATTATTTTAAAATTGTGTTACACAGATCATATGCTCTTCAACTAACGAGGGGGAGATTTCTATTAGTCTGAATGGATGTTAGCAACAGCATGTTTGTTGGTCAAAAGCATGCTCTGATAATCAGATCATAATAATATCTGTAAAACACAATTTGAATTTTTTTTTTGTAAAACTCACTCTGAGAAAGAGAATTTTAAAAATAACATTTGAAAATATACAAATCTGTCAAATACTTTTTTATAAAGTCTAAAAAAAGAAAAACATTTTTTAAATAAAATGTAAAAAAACAGAAAAGTTCCTCTCAAATCTTTTTTTTTTATTATTTTTTTGAAAGTTTTATGTCTTGATTGCATTTTGTTCAAATTTTCATTTCCAAAATGTTTTCTTTTCTTGTAACAATAATGAAACACAATTCACTCCATATAAAATGTTCCAAGAATATTTGCAAGAAAATGTGTAAAAGTTAAAGTGGTGTGAATGCTCTTGCATTGCACTGCATACCATTTTTGCTGTAGTTTGTAAAATCTAACAGTAGCCAATCCGCAAGAAAAAAAAAAAAATGTGCAAAAATACTCTGGTACCTTTAAAGTCATAACAGGAAGAATTGGTACCAGAGGTATAACAGGAATCGCAGATTTGTACCAGAACCTTTTCTCAGGAGGAACGTTTTATCCTGACCTGAAGCACTCTTTCCGCAGAGCAAGGGCGAGCGGTCCCGCCTCGTATTCCTGTCCTCCCATGATGGACGGGACCCTTTCTTGATCCTCCACAAACACAGCCAGCTCACTATCTCGGCTGCCCAGCATGCTGCGGTCATTAATGTTGGCCGATCCTAAAAAACACATGGAAGCAAGGGGCTTATCAAAATCTTTAGAAAAGCAAGTGGTTTAAAAAACACAAAGTAGGACTTGTTCCTTCAGGTTCTAGCAACTGATTTGTTTTATCTTTAAGGCTCATTATAGCAAAACAAGTTTTTTCAATTTATAAATCACATTACAGTAGCAAGACATTTCAAAGTGGTGTACATGAAAAAAATACAAGAAAAACTGAAAGTACATTACAGAGGGGTAGAGGTAACTAAATATATTAATATAATATAAGAATAATAAAAATGAAAAAACAAAGTAAATTTATAAAAAATATAAAATGAAATAAAAGCTTCTCCTCCATGTTTGGTTCAGGTTCTGTAGAGTAGATCTGATCCAGTAGTCCTGGGAGGTCTGGCTGTTGATCCACTGACAACAGGCCTCTAACATAATTTGGAACAAAGCTATTCAGTGATTTATAGAATAACAGAAGTATTCTAAAGTCTATTCTCTGAGCTATAGGGAGCCAGTGGAAGGACTTTAGAGCTGGGAGGATGTTCTCTACTTTCTTAGTTCTAGCGAGGATGCAGGCAGCAGCAGCATCTGGATCAGCTACTTTCTAGGCAGACCGGTGAAGACACCGCTGCAGGGATACATTTTACTAAACATGGACAGAGCAGGAATTAGTTTATCATGGTCCTGCTGAGACATTATTCCTTTAATCCTGATATGTTCTTCAGGTGATAGGAGGACAACTTTGTTTCTTTTGAAGCCTGATTGCTGGTTTCTAGCTGGATTAACTGAAGCTGTGTGATAACTATGAAACAGTCTTCTGAAGAACATTTATTCCATTCATACGTTGATTGACACGGTCACCAGGAGACGACGCAGTACAGCACTATGTCGTCTGCATAGTGATGGTAACTGATGCTGCTTATTAAAATCTAAGTTATGGGGAGCATGTACGCTGCTCTAAGAATAAAGGGAACATGTAAAAAACAAAAATAGCTTCAATCAAATCAAACATCTTTCACAGTCTGCATTTATACAGATGTCACTGAACATCTGGGTAAGTTCAGTCTCTGTACTGAGATGGGAACAGAAGCCTGACTGGAAGATGTCGAAGCAGCAGGTCAAAAATAAATTGTATCATAACTGTATATTAAAGCTAACACCTATATTTGTTTTCTATTAGCCAAGACTGACCTAATCTCTGGTTCAGCACGCTGTGATAATGAAAGTTTCTTTTTAAAGAAATAAATAGCTAGATGCTGATATTGGGGATCTATCACCTCATTTTATGAACGTCATTTTTTTAACCTCAATTTCTTAAGGAGAAAACAAGGACTAAATGCTGATAGTAAAAATATGATTAATACATAAACTGTCTGATTGGATTCCTTGAACAACTTTGCAGCTGGATACTCACCAATTATATAGCGGCGGTCATCAGCGATGAGCGCCTTGCTGTGAACATAGATCAGCTCTGTGACATTGAACCCAGAGAGCCAGGAATGAGTCCTGAGGCCACAGAAGGTGATGTACTCTGTCCACTGGTCCTTTACTGGGACACAGATAACAGTCACATTATTCACCACTGATAACGAATATTCAAACTCTTGCAGATGTGAGAAGAGAAAACTGAAAAAAATCTGAAAAAAAGAGGCTGTTTTGCAAACAGTAGAAGAAAAAAAAAGGACAAAAGAACCAGGAGATCTTTTTTGAACAGTTAACCAGTAGCTTTGGATAACTTAGGGAAAAAAACAAGCAAAAAAGCAGAACATACCTTCTCTAAGCCTCGCCAGGATAGAGTGCTCCCCACGGCACATTGTCCTTGCACACACAAAAAAGGAAACATAATTCAATCGCTTTTATAAGTTGGGTGGGCTTAGATTAATACATCTATTTATATATAGATATATAATGGTACACACTGCTTATTCATGATTGAATGGCTTAGTGTCTCTTGTCCAAATGAGCAGAGCAGAATGATAATAGGAGAAGCGTCTCACCTGTAAGTGAAGTGCATAATGGCTTGAATTGCATTTCCGCCTCCAGTGGTAATGTCTCCCTCAAAACCAGGAAGCAAAGGAATCACGACAAACACACGGTACTTCTTCTGCTCTCTACAGACAAACCAATAAATAAAGATTTCACTTTTACAGGACAGATGAGCAGCTTCTGGTAGATTTTGAAGCATTCCAGTCACATCTGAGCTTTGAGGCTTTGGACCTTAATAAGCCCTAAGCTGACCTGATACGTGATTTGGATATCTGCAGATTCTGATACTTTTCTCATACCAGAGCTCTGTTTGTTTTAATGTTCTCATCATTACCTTTGATTTATTAATAGGCTGTCATTAACTCCTCTCTATAAGCAAGTATATGTGTGATATTTACATCCCAAACAGCAATTTGAGGATTTTTATTAGGGCAGAAAAGGAGTTTATAAAATAGTAAATCCTGTTTAAAGGACAAATTCCATCCTGGAAATAAATATAAACTGCAAGAATTCAAACTAACTGAACTTCAATCCAATTAAAGCAGTACTAAAGAACTTTAAGTTTTGGTTGATTTTTGCTCTCCCCAGTGGACAAAAGCTGTATTGTTTTGTCTGAATGACGACAGCTTTTCCCATTAGGACCAGCGTGGTAAAGACCATAGAGCGGATTAATCCTGATCTTGTGGTCACCTGCAGAGGGGCCTTACTACATTTCTGTTTCCTGTGGCTCCAGTGAAAGGTGAATAGGGTATGGACTCGTGGTCCCGCCGAGTACATTCTTAGCAAGAACATAGGAAACTATGGACTCAGGAGAACGGGAGCACGCAGAATAAATATGGGTCAACTGGAACAGAAGCGTACTTGTGACGTCACCACATTCAAAGCTAGTCTGGAGCTGCATTTCACCTCCTGTTATTAAAAGCCTCTCGATAATAATAAATTATAACTTTTTTATTGGAAATAATAATACATTCAAACACAAATCAAATGAATGTTTTGCCAAATAAAACAGAAAAAAAACGGCATCTGAGCCAGCGATACTTCATACTATGCAGAGAGAGGGCTGCTGCAGACGGGCTTACATTAGGCCTGCTGTGGTTAGCCTCAGAGGTTCACTGGTTGCCACTGTCCTCTCAACATCGGAACTTTTTTTAATGATGCACTAAATCAGTAAATGGGCCATATAGTGAAGCATAAAGTATAATGTTCTTGCCTCAAATAAACTTAAAACATACTTTTATTTAACATCAACAGAAAAGAGAACTTTTAACTAAATACTCTGAGCTCTGTGAGCGCTAACCTGGATGCAGCTGCTGCCGCGGTGCATGCTGGGACAGCTGTAAGTCTGGAGAACTGTTACATACTTCATAACAAGAATGATATCCAGGTTCTTTGTCCATTTTTGGTCTTGTGTTCTTGTGAATTGGAACAGTGCTGAGGACGTTTCACGAGTACATGAGAACGCACAAGTAAACATATTGAGAAACGGACGGAGTCATATGAAGATGTTGAAAATGATAAATGCTCAACTTTGGCTTTGTACCATATTCGTGGAAAATATGTAATGTAATATGTAATTTCCCATTAAAACACCTTTAGATCCTAGCAGGAAGGAGCTGCATTGCCTGAATATCAACCCTAAACAATTTACACAAATCTACAGTCTCTCAGGGAAATTTAGTCTCATCGACTTTCGCCTTTATAATGAAAGGGGAAAGTGACGTTCGCCGTAAAGCAGGTTTACTGCCACCTTCCTCAGAGTTGCTTAGAGTAGGTGAAAGCGATAAAGATGCCCTTGGGCCATGAGAGAGGGGTCATTAGTTAGTCGTTAGTGTTTGTTTAATAATAGATGCCCTTACAGAGGGAAACTTTCTGCATAGTGAACTGAACTGTTTATTTTAATGAGGAGCTAAATAAATGATAAAAATCTAATCTTTTTTTGTTTTTAGCTGAGGCACATTTTTATCAGACTGAAACTTCATTTTTACACAACTTGCATCTCTTCTGTGTGAGAAACCACACCTGTGTGCTCGCAGGATTCGGTCCACAATCGCATCACCAATCCCATTTTGGATGACCTTGTCTTCAGCACAGCTGATGAAGAACTGGTTCTAAGGGCAAAGAAAAGGCAGATGGCGACTCGGTGTGAGGCAAGGGCCAAAGCGGACAGGAGGCTGGCAGAGATCATGAAGCCTCATCAAAGATGAGTAATAAATGGGCTACATGCAAGAAGCACCAGATAAGTCTAAATCAGGACTGATAATAGATCTTAAAATAGGCAACATTTATTTCATTTAAATAGAAAGATAAATCATCTTCCACTACAAAGGGTTTTTTCTCCTAAAATAATGATCTAAAATGATGAGATTTTAAATGGGATGATTAACCTTTTATTTGTTATTATTTTACTTACTTTTAACTTGTTTTCTGTAGTACTAGTTGAAAGGTTAATTTTGAAATTAGGAAGCGCTGCCGTTTTACCTCAATGTAGATGAAGTGCTCGCTGGTCTCAATGGTGTGTATATAGGCTTGAAGGATTGAGTTTTCACAGCTTCCAGCTGACCAAGAGTCAGCAGAGCGGAGCACCTGAGGACAGACAGAACATTCATATAGAAAACATTTAAAAACCCAAAACGAGCTGGACAAACATAAGAAAGGCCAAATGTTCGTCCATTTATACAGATTTCAACATAAAGAGAAGATGAGGCCTAAAATCCCACAAACAGACAAATGTTTCACTACGAAAAAGGAAACCATGGAAGTCAACTGTTCTTGCTATAAGTGCATTTTTTTCATGTTTTGAGCAGGTAAGTAAAACAATTGGAGTGAGATGACAAAATTTAAAATAATAAAGAAAAACTACTTTATTTCAAGTGATTATCTAGCATTGGAAGATGGTCTAATTTACATGCTCAAATTACAGCAAAGCAAGTTTATTTATAGAACATTTCAGTGGAAAAGGATTCAAATGAGAGAATAAAGAGAATAATAATATAATTTATAAATCAAATAAAAATGACTGATTAAAAAAGAAAGTTGGACACAAAACTTAACTAATAATGTTAAAATATCACAGTCAAAGGTCACTCTGAACAATTAGGTTTTTAATCTGAATTTAAAGCAACTGATGTTTCAGCATTTTTTTTTTGGCTTGATTTGATTCAGATTAGTGGAGCAAAAGAAGTAAAAGCTGTTTCTCCATTTCTGCTTCTGGATCTGATTCCAGTAGATGTCTGGCTGTTGATCCAATGACAACAAGCCTGTAATTAATTTTGGAACTAAGCTATTCAGTGATTTATAGACTAACAGAAGTATGTCAAAGTCTATCTAGGAGCCAGTGGAAGGACTTAAGAACTGGGCTGATATTCTCTACTTTCTTAGTTCTAGTGAGGATGTAGGCAGCAGCATCTGGATCAGCTGCAGCAGCTCTGATCCACTTCTTAGACAGACCGGTGAGAGCACCGCTGCAGGAATGAATTCTACTGAAGATGGACAAAGCAGGAATCAGTTTATCATTGTTCTGCTGAGACATTAGTCCTTTAATCCTGGAGATGTTCTTCAGGTGATAGGACGACTTTGTTCCTGTCTTTATAAGCCTCAGGGTTCAGGTTCAGGTCTGAGTCCATCACTACACTCAGTTTAGAGCCTGATTGCTGGTTTCTGGCTGGATTAACTGAAGCTGGGTGATAACTATGAAACACTCTTCTGAAGAACATTTAGTTCCCTCCATACATTGATTTCTTCTCTGCATTTATCTACAGCAGTGTGTCGTCTGAACAGTGATGGTAACTGATGTTGTTTATTGAGATCTGAGTTATGGAGATCTAGATAAATGGGCCCTAAGATTGACCCATGTTTGATTTCTATGGCCTCTGGTGTAATGTTTCCTATGAACACAAAAGTACAGTGCTGTACCAGAAAGGTTTTCCAGGCGCTCTAATTAAATGCATTGGTCGACAGTATCAAAGGCTGCATTAGGGTCAAATAACACCATTCAATAAGCTAAAGACCTTTTTTGTCTATTGTTTTCTTTGAAAAAGAAGCAGACTTGAAGCAAACAGAATCTAAAATTTAAAAATGTTTTAAAATGTGATATAATGCACCTGGTACAAAATCGACAAGTTGTTTTGTTCTTATTTTAAAGATAAATCATTTGGCAACTTGTCTTCCCTGCTGCAATAAAGGGATAAAACAACAACACTTATTTTAGGAAAGAATAACTTCTATTTCAATTTTACAGCATTTCTACTAATTTAAAGGAGGCAGCAGCTAAACAGAAGAACACCTGCTCCAACACCCACAGCCAGTGTAACCAGAGAGCCTGAAACCTGAATAAAGCAGGCAGCAAAACAACAACATAATGGGGCTTCTAGGGTTACAGTTGCAGACCACCGCCCACATTAGAATAAAAAGAAAGAAAAACACATCAACAGTTAATGCTTATGGAGCATATATGCCAAATAACTAACATTTTTGCAATTAAAAAGGGCCCACTTAATACATCCGCTGTGTTCCAGTCAGCCTGCTGTCCTGCTTTTAGCAGCATTTTTAACAGTTCATTCAACCAGTGTCCTAGTCAAAGTAACAATTACTGCTCTGCATCGCTTTACCATTTCCATCTGAAGCAGATGTTACTGGTATGCAGAGCAGCTCCATGATATGTTTTTATTATTCCTCTAGCTTTGCCAAAGACAAAAGGACAAAAAAAAAAAGAAAATGTTGGAAGGAAATTGCCTCACAGGCTTTTAACTTTTGTTCCACCATCTGCCACAGCGTTAAAACACCGAACTCTCAACACTGATGCTTGAGTTTTAAAAGCCAGAACCCCATCTCTGTTGAAAAGAAATCCATTTGATGTCCTGCTCTAATCAGATCTGGAGCCAACGTCAGGGGGAACAGTCAAGCTCAGAGGCTTTTCTTCAACTACATCACAGATCTTCCATAATATTCACTGAGGAGGAGGGTCTATTAGGGCCACTGCAGAAGCAAGAAAAGGAAGGCTGACAAAAGAAAGTTGGAAGTTCAACAATTTGAAATTTTGTCGCTGGACGCCAGAATATTAACCAATCAGAAAAGCTGATCCAGGAGTTTTTTGGGGGAGACAGACACTACCTGCAAGCTGTTGTATTTTCTGCAGTATTCTGCATCCAGAGTTCTGCATATAAGGGAGTTAAAGCCGGAAGAATGGATTGTTATGTAGAAAGAACATGGTATCAATATGGCATCTTTTCTGAATTTTAAGGGCAAAACAGTTTATAAATACCCAAAATAATGACAAATAACTATATGCCAACAAAAAATATTTGATTGTATATTCAGGTACTTGCAGTTTTTAACCACAAACCTTAGAAACCTCTTTCTATTCACTTCCAGCCCCTACAAACGGCCTCCCGGGAGTATGCTGGAGGGCCAGCGCTCCGAACAAGAACTGCATATTTTAGTGGAATCATAATCCTGATGAACAGAGGATGTTTGGAGGTGGACTTTTTTTTGCTTAAAAACGTGTTCAAACTATTTTTCAAACTCTTAAAGTCAATAAAACCAAGCTGCTCTCTAGCTTGAAGCTACAGAACAAAGCAGATAAAGAACCAGGGCACCGCGCAGCCAGAGCGTCAAAGCATTGATCAGATGACCAAGATTTGACCAACATTTTAGCCAGCATCCAAGTTTTGGTGTCTAAGTGTTTTTAATGTCAAGATTGTGTTTTGTGAGAAACACCTTAAGGTTTGAAGCGGTAGGCATGTGCTAGTAACTGCTTTAGGGTTACCGTCAATGGAGGCCAATGGGGGTCAACACATGGTCCTCACGTCACACAGCAAGATGAGAATGTGTGTAATTAACCACCTGAACTTTGGCTCTCTGGGACCCAGGAACAGTATAAGGCAGCGAGTCAGCGGTAGTGTGAGACTTGGGGAGCAGGTAGGGGTAGAAGTTATCCTTGTACTTGGTCTTGAAAGTCTAAGGAAGAAATAACATAACAAGAGATTGAAAAAAAAAAGAATTTAGAACTGAATCTGATCACAAAATATATATATATATATATATATATATATATATATATATATATATATATATATATATATATATATATATTGTGATCAGATTCAGTTCTAAATTCTGTTTCCTCTTTCAAGTAATTCCATTAAAAATGTATTTTGAATAAATAAAAGATCTGGAGCAGGGGTAACCAATAAAATAAACCAGCGGGGTACGAAAAAAGAAAACAAGGAGACATTTTTAATTATAAAACGTTACTTAAAACAGCATTTAACACTGAAATAAAAATGCAGATGTTTATGCATCCATGTTATACATTGAATTTTTAAATAAAAAAATACAATGTTTTTCCATTTTAAAATCTAAATTGTTTTTGAAGTAGAGAAAAACAATCTTTCAGTTTGGTATATAGATAATTTCATGACTCACTTTTTTTTTTAAAACACTTCAACTGACTTTTTTTATTCTTATTTTTTATGGCTTAATGAGAGCAGTGGGCTTTATTCTGCCACTGCAAGGCTTTAAACTTGGGTTTGATTGGCGACAAAACCATTCTAAAGCACATATCTGCTGTGTCTAAAATTAGCCAGAAGCAGCAACCCTGACTGACAGCAGCTCATTGGCTAATTTGTGGCCTGTTGCCAGATGCTCTGCATGGCTTTACCATACAAACGGCGCAAGTGACAAGTGACATGCAGTAATTTATAAATGTTTTAAATCAGGTTTAGTCCTGATTAGCCAGCAGGTGGGTCCGGATCAGGACCTTGGTCCACTAATCTGTGACCTCTGACCTAGAGGTTAGAAAAGGACTTAATGAAATAAACAAACATGTGGCAGAGTCTAAATAGGAGATATTATTCAACCTTTTATAATTTAAAAGGTAAATTTATCATCTAATTAGGTACAAATCAATAAATAGCACATCTGTTTGTTTAATGGCACATTACATGTTTCATGTAATGTGTAATTATCTGTTTAATTCAATCTGCCATACTTGATGGTTAAACTCATATGTTCATTAAAAGTCTAAAGGTTATTGATATTGGCATCAAGGCTTACCTTTGTGAAGTCCCAGCGCTGGATGAAGTGCCGGGCGACATCCCTGGCAGCTTTGCCGTGCATCGCTGCAGACAGGTCACGCCATGGCATGCGTGGAACTTGGGTGCGGTCGATGTTATCTGAAGAAAAACATCAGAACCAAACATGTTCCCATCATGTTCTCAGATTCCCTCTGATTTTACTATAGAGCTTCAAACTGTACAAAAACAAAATGCAGCTCTTTCTGTATTAAAAGCAAACAGTGGTTTTGGAAAAAAATGTTTTTAGTTTTAATTTAACATAAAAAGCAGTTTGCACAGATAAATTTTCAAAAAAGGTAAATATGGATTAAAAAAATGAAAAAAGAAAAGATAGCCAAGATGAAAAAAAGAAAAAAGAAATTAATCTTTAGCAAGGAAAATAAAGATGTACCTAGGATTTTGATATAATTTTGGAGGCTCTTTAACACAGTTTGAATATGAAAACATTCTCATCTATGCATTTCTGGATTCAAGCCAAAAATAAAAAAAGGAAAGAACCAATGAGAGTGAATGTCAGTCAAACCTTTCAGCATAAAGGGCAGCAGAAGGAAAACAAAAGGGGGTTAGAAGCCATGGAGAGGTTGCCACTTTCCTTTTGGAAAGGCAATTAAAAACATTTGCTACTGTGACAAACTTACAGCTGGAAGGAATTCAATTTATAGCTTTCTCCTTTAAATATGTTTTCACTATTATAGGAGCCTGGCTTCTAAGCAGTGTAGTCTACTCCCTAAAACCACAAACAGAGGGTCAGGGTACCTTCAAAAGGCCTGTCCAGTAGAGTCCAATCCTTTTTGATGAAGTTGCTGTAGTCCTTGCCAAGCCACAGTTTAGTGTTACCCGTCAGGTCAGTTTCTGTTTGGTTATCTGCATTTAGGTCATCAGCTACACCATTGTCCTGTTCAACAGAGTCACAGTCAAACTCCTGCAGAGTTTTACCAATTACACAAACCATCAATCAGGACACACGCTTACAGTCACATCTTTGCTTGGCTGCTCCCCCATTTGCCCGTTCTGCGTCTGACCCAGATCAGCCAGCCGATATTCTCTGTCATCCCACCTGCCAAACGCCAGGTCAATCCCCCCAACAAACGCCACCGTTTGGTCAATGGCCACCATCTTCTCGTGGTGAGCCCACAAGATCACCGCAGATGAGACGTGGTCTGGATGTCGCATCACCTGGTGGAAGACGGGGGAACTCGGCGTTAGTCAGACATGGCTAACGGATGCAGCTCTCTAAGGAGGACTACAGACCTTGATGTTCGGATGCATGTTCATCAGAGTCCTCTTGCTGTAGTCGCTATTGATACCAAGTGCCATCTCCACCTCCTTGTAAAGCAGGACGCACACTTTGACTCCCTGCTCCTGCAGATACAGAGAAAAGATATGTGAACTTAACAGCCGGGCTTAAGTTAAAGTAATCATAGAAATTTATTTAAAAGAGAGCAAACCCTTACTGCTTTCCGTTTCAGGATATGATCCAGTCTCCAGTGGTTGCTAGTGGCTGGTCTCTTTAGGAAAATCTCAGGGCTGAGCCTGATAGAGATCAAGGATCAGAAAAATATATATATAAAAGACATTCATATCCTTCAAACGAGAACATTAACAAATTATTTATAATCCATTTTATTGCACAGATAAATGGGCCGGCAGGTCGATCGGCCTTGATTTACTTCATTTTGTAAGATTGGTGATCTGCTGACACTTCGATGTGAAACTCATCTCATCCATCCATGCAAATCTCTGAATATCATACACTGTCAACTCTCTATACTTCGATTTATATTTGAAAGCAGTTATTTAAGTTTTTATCTTTTAATGGGTACTTATTGTTTGTTTAAAATGAGATTGAAATATTGTAGGCGACTTGCTATCTTATAACAACTAACAGTGCCAGTGATATAAAAAAAAAACCACAAAAAAAAACAGAATTAATCAAAATATTAATCGGCATGTCAGACATTTTTAAGATCAGTAATCGGCCAGTGTGCGACAATCTGTGCTCCTCTATTTTTTTAGGTGAAAATCCATACCAGGTTGTGCAGAACTGCAAAGTTGTAAGAAAAAAAAAAAACGTCTGAATTTTTCATATATATATATATATATATATATATATATATATATATATATATATATATATATATATATATATATATATATATATATATATATATATATATATATTAAAAAAACAATTACAAGCCAGATTTTCAAGATGTTTTTTATTCTTTCTAGAATTTTATCTTGCTGCGACAGCTGCACGTCTCTTAAGGACATCGGTACCTTTAGTCTGCAGATAAACAAAATGACTTGACCTCACTTAGGCTGCATGCACACAAAGAAGAATACGGTATCTGCACATAAAAAGCTTAAGTTTAAAGACAAAACTATTGGAAGCCAATAAATGGGTCTCAACCAACCAAGAGGGAGACTAAAATAAATAAATATATTCTAAAACAGAACCAAAACATTCAAGTTTGTGTTTCAGAATCAGGCTTTCTAAAAAGAAGAGTAAGCTAGGTGATCATAACTTTCAAAAAAATCTATTGGTTGAATAAGCTATATATTGTATAAATGCATCAATTGTTGTGTTTAATTCACTTTATTTATATAGCCCCAACTTTTAACACATTTTATCTCAAGGCACTTTTTTGTTTATTTAAGGGCCGAGACAGTTTTTAAATTGGAAATGTTATTTTGTTTATAGGTGGTTTTCGATTTATTTCAGAAATAAACATGTTTAATCGACTTAATTAATCAAAGAAAACATTAACAATGGATAGCAAATGGGAGGAGCATCATCTCAAAGTACTGCGACACATGCATGTATCGGCTGATGCCGAAACATACAAAAAATAAATAAATAAATTTTTTTTATAATATCTGCCAAATGTTTTGGACAACCAATGAACCAGTTTATCGTTACCCGTTACATTTTAAAAGTTTGGATATTGATTTATAATCTAACTAATTTAGATTAAAGTGGTGAGAGATTACATCACAGAGAACATGACACATTTCAGGATTTCAGGATTACAGTTCGTTGCATTGGATTATATTTAGAGGAAGTCAGATAAAGGGGGGAAAATTTAGCTTTGTAAAAAAAAAAAAATGGATGCTTGCTTAAAAAGAAACACATCCTTTAAGTCTTACCACCAATCCGTGATGAAAATCTCCTCCTTGGCTTTTTCAAGGGCATCAGCCAGGTCTGCAAAGTAGTCTCCCCCATTGACATACCTGCAATGAAAAGCCAACAACTCTGAGTGTTAATCAAGGAGTCGTCGGAGGTATGTTTGCATCCGGGACCCGACCATTTAGTGAGAGTATCTTCTCGTGGTGGAGCAAATCCTCCAAAGCGGTGCTCTTTCAGGAAGTCGCAGTCCTCTGCCAGCCGCCTGATTTCATGGCTCCACCAATGACTCTGTCTGTAGCTGCTGCATTTAATGATCAAATTCCTGGTGAAAGAAAGGACCAACCAACATGCAAGGAAATGTGATAAAAACCAGAAACTGTCAAGTTTGGGGACACGACACCAGTAAACACGACATACCGCGTGTAGCTCTCAATAGAGACTCCATACTCTGTGCCCGTGTGACTGTTCCCCACTTTGATGTCAAATTTGGGGTCAAAAAGTAGCACAAAGTCGATCTCTGAGTTGTCTCTGCTCATATACAAGAGGAAGGAGTCCTTGACCACCAGCCAACGGTGCGACCAGCGGTAACAGACCTGATGGTGGCCGATGCAGTTTAGACCCAGAATGCGGTGACCTCCTGACCTCTTCATGATCGGCCCTTCCCTGAGAGAAACCACACCAACATCACAATCAGCCTTTGCCTTTCAGGCATCTCTGCAAGAGTCTTCATTTGAAACAAGCATATCTTCCTTTCTTACAGGCCTTTAGGTCCCAGATCTGTAACGAAGGAGAGGGGACCCACAGAGAGGAATTCCAGCTGAAAAAGACAGAGACGAGTTAACCAGATGTTGGACCCAATAAATTAGTCGCAATATTAGAGAATAAAGTCATAATATTTTTGCACAACCGTGAAGTCATTAAATGAGTAGAATAAATCTTGAACATTACAGAAATAGAAATAGAAGACTGTTGGCCTAGTGGTTAGAGCAGTGCGTGTGCTCTGAGAAGGCTGCAAGTTCCCAGTTCGATCCCCACAGCCTGCACTCTGGGTCCCTGAGCAAGACCCTTAACCCCTGATTGCTCACTGGATGTCGCAAAATGGCAGCCCATTGCTCCCCAAGGGGATGGATCAAATGCAGAGGTAAATTTCTCCATTGTGAGATCAATACAGTTCAGTTATTAAAAACAGCAATTTCATTAAGTGTACAAATGTAGATTGTAACGTTACCAAGGTCATGCTACCAGAATAAAATCAGGGATTAAGTGATTATGAGATTAAAGTCGTAACATTGCCTGAATAAAGTCGGAATATTATGAGACTGAAATCATAAAATGATTAAATAAAATAGTGTCATATTAAGGGTGTATTAACACCAGTCCGCTTTAATCGGACCATAGTTCATAGCACACAGCCTGCCAAATGTATAAAAGGCAATATTATTGCCATTACTGTTGATATATAATAGAAATGTACACATTCATTAATAAAATGTCACATGGGGGGATGGTCATTTAAGAAGGTGATTCCATCCCCCTTCAACTCAAGTACTGGGTACAACAGAGTGAAAAGCATAATGTTAGAAGCAGGAGATGTGTCTACGGTTAACTCTGCAGTTTTCTACTGGCTTGATGGCAGAAAGAATGTTATGGGTGTACTCATGTTAATGATTTTATGTGGGGTGGATCCCAATTCTTTTCCCAGAGTCAGTCATACCTAAAATTAGATCACAGTTTAATTTTGGTCATGAAGCTCACAACACCTCCTATATACAGGGGTCCTACAGCATAAGGCAAGTTAAATTCAAGACTTTTTAATGCCACTTGATATAAAAATTTAAGACCAAATTCACAAGAAACACGAGAAAAACCCTCTTGTGACAACTTAACCCAAAGGTTTATTTTAACATAAACCACTGCACTGTTTCAAATTTTGAAAAGCTTCCCATACAGAAAGAAAGCTAAAAACACACAAATGACAGATATATTTTAACAATTATTTAACTGAATTCACAAACTTTGATTTAGCAGGGAACAAAATAAATCAGTTTTAAAGCCACAACATAACCAGAGCTAAGTCACTGTGCCTCATGTATGTTCCCTGGTACTGGTTTTAGGCATGGAGAAAACTCTTGGTTGGATAGCCAATTTTCGTTACATGTACACTTGCTCATATTTTCCAGACAAAAAGTTAATGGTACATCTCCCAAATGTCCGCTATCGGGACGGAACCAATAATGGCGAGCAGTTTTTTTTTTTTTTTTTAGAATAAAAAAAAAAATAATTGTCAACTTTAACGTTTTGTTTAGATTACAAAAATAAATCGTAATAAAAATAATCCTATTTACGATGTTTTAAAAAATAAGACTTTCAAAAGACTGATTTAAGACATTTTAATACCAATTAAGGCCGTTTTATTTTTTTGAATTCAATGCCTTTTAAGACTTTTTAAGGACCCGCGGGAACCCTGTATATAGGTGTGGACCTTGTCACTTTTGGTACCACCATAAAAATACATCAACAGACATACATTCAACACCTGCAGCCCATCAACCTCTAGAGCAGCAGAGTCAGCTTCCCCCCTCAATGAGGAGGAGAGAGAACAGCTCAGGTAAAAGATAAGAGAACTGTTGTGGGTGGTGAGACAGAGCAGACCTGATGTCATGTTTGATGCATGCAATCTGGCATCTAGTCTCAAACAGCACAAGGCAAACCATGTGAGGCAAACCGTGTTGTGTTTAAACTCAAAGCCAAGACGGCTGAACTGAATTTTCAGCATCTTGGAGAAAACAGCAACTTGAAGATAGTTATGTTGAGTTTTGGGAACCTTTCAGATGGAGGTACCCAGGGTGGGCATCTCATTGTCTTGAAGGGTGAAAATGGATGATTCTCTCCCATTTGGTGGCAGTCAAAAACGATAAAGAGAATTGTCAGAAGCAACCTTGCAGGTGAAACATTGGCTTGGATTTTTAATGCTATTTTTTTATCTCCAGGCTGTTTTCTGAACTAAGTACTGGTAATACCACACAGCCTTTGCCAAAAACATTTGTCAATGATAACTTCTATCTTGTAGATTTGCTTAAGTTAACCAATTTTGAATAGACTACGCCTGGAAATCAGTTCTTTTAAAGAACAGATCCAAACTAAGAGAGCTCATAGGTTTTGTGGTCAAATGAAAGACAAGCTTGCCGACTGTTTCACACATAAGGGAGCGTCCGCAACCTTAAGGCTCTTTATGAAAGATGTTCGACTGTATTACAAATGTAGTAAGAAGCTTTGTTATTCAACTATATTGTTAAAAAAAGGAATGTGGGCCTAGCAATCTGTTTTCATGCATACATTGTTTATTTGATTCATTCGTTTATTTTAGTTTTTTTGTTGTTTTTTTTCTTAAGAAGAGAGGGAGATTGGGAATAATGGCGACGTGGGACGTATGAGTGGAAAAGTACAGGGAGAAATAAAAGTTTCTTGTAAAGATATCTCAAAGTAGAGTTATCTTTGGTTTAACACTTAAACTACGGTACTAATATCATGAATATTAAGACATAAATAGTTTATAAGGAATATTAAAGTCATGACATAACCACAATAAAGTCATAATAATATCAGATTAAAGTTTTAATATTATGAAAATAAAGTCATAATATTACGTTTAAGAGAAGTAAATTGTAACTTTCCAAGATTTCAGTCGGGATTATCAATATAAAGTTGTAATATAAACAAAATTAAATTCAAAAACAATATGAGGTAAAAGCATTAATATCCCCAAAATTTGAGTCAGAACATTATGAGATAATTATTATAACATAACCAAAATAAAATCTTAATATTATCAAAATAAACTGTAACATCACATATTAAAGTTTTTATACTGTAGGCGACTATCATCCAAAAAATAGTCACTGAGAGGAGAGCAGGGATCTGTTTGACGCGCTGAATCCAAGGAGGAAACATAAAGCTTTTCTGCAGTTAGGGATGTTTATTGCACTCTTTTTCTGTGAGGCATTGTACAACAGGTCGATTTGCAGACTTATTTGCTTACAACTTGCGGTCAACAGAAATATTGGCACCCTGTCTTAGCCTCTCTCTGAATCAAACAAACAAAACAGCCTCAGAGCAGATCCAGGTGATATTAATTAGACAATCACTCAGACACATGCCAACACCCACTTATAGCTCCACCCACACATGCCCATACATACCTTTAACACATGCAGCCTACCCTTAGAGACATTACCAAAATGAATCCTTGCCTCTACATTCCGGCCCCTAATTATTATGATATAATAATTACTAAATAATAAGAGAAACATAGTATAATCTCACACAAAAAAACATGTATAGAAGCTGTGTTTTCAGATCAGCAGTTTGAACAGAGAATCTGGTAGAAAATGGTCTGTGCCACAGGTTCTATGTTCAAAGTGAAGTAGTATCAACAACAGAACAAGAACAGCAAATCACAACAAATAATCCATCAAGTATCCTCGGCTTCCTGAAGCAGGCAAATCTTTGTGACAGGTCTGTCCAAACAGCTTGTCTTGGTCCTGATCTTGAGTTGTCGAACAAGTCCTTTTCTGTCTTTATAGGCTTCAACAACTCTCCCCATAATCCAAGAATTTCGGGGTGCAGAGTCATCTACGATGAGCACGATGTCTCCAGGAGCAAAGTTGCGCTTGATTTTGTTCCATTTCTGATGCTCCTGAAGCAGTGGTAAGTATTCTCTTGTCCATCTCTTCCAAAACAAATCAGAGATGTACTGTACTTGTTTCCATCTACGTACAGCATACGAATCTTCCTTCTGGAAAACACCAGGTGGGAAAGATGGTTGACCTTTGAGGAGGAGGAGATGATTAGGAGTCAGAGCCTCCAAATCATTTGGATCTGTGGATGCTTTTGTTATTGGTTTGCTATTGAGAATAGCTTCAACTTCACAAAGCACAGTGTGGAGGCTGTCATCATCCAGAGTTTGAACTCTTAAAGTAGAGTTGAGGACCTTTCGGATTGAACGGATTAACCTCTCCCAGACTCCCCCATGATGGGAACCACTAGGAGGATTAAACTTCCACTTTATTCCTTTCTGTGATAGTTCATCATGAATCTGAGCTTGATTCCAATGCTCCAGAGATCTTCTCAATTCTCGATCGGTGCCAACAAAGTTGGTTCCATTGTCTGAGCAAAGCTCTTTGACTTGGCCTCTTCTAGCTATAAAGCGACGTAGTACATTCATAAATGAATCTGTCTCCAGTGATGCAGCTACTTCAATATGCACAGCTCTCAGAGCTAAGCAGGTGAATATAACTCCATATCTTTTGACTTTGGATCTTCCACGTCTCACTTCAAACGGACCAAAACAATCCACTCCCACTGATGTGAATGGTGGTTCATCTGGAGAAATCCTGCTGAGTGGCAAGTCTGCCATCTGTTGGCTTGCTGGGACTGCCAAAACCCGTCGGCATATAACACATTTGGCCAAGATTCTTCTTATGGCTCCACTGGCTCCAGTAATCCAGTAATTCTGGCGTAGCCTTGCCAACATGTGGGTCCTGCCCCCATGGCCGACTTCTTTGTGCACTTGTCTAAGGATGAGGTCAGAAACATGAAGATCATTGGCCAAAATCACTGGATGCTTTGACTCTTCAGGCATTGCTGACTTACTGAGCCTTCCACCAACTCTCAAAATACCATTATCAAGAAATGGATTTAATTTGTATATGTGGCTTGTCTGTTTCACATTCTGATTCTTTAAGAGACTGGAAAACTCATCAGGAAATCTTTTCCGTTGGCACAGTCCAATGATCTCTAGCTCCGCCTCTTTCAGGTCCTCCACAGAGAGAAAAACGGTGAACAAATCCTTGACACTCTGCAGCTCTTTTTTTAGAACAGTCTTCTGTTCATTCTCATCCATTTTTGAGTGTGACAACAGCCCCTTGACTTCCTTCCTTTTCTTCCAGAGACTTAAAAGTCTGCTTTTGAATCTTAAGACCCAAGCAATCACTCTCTTTAACCGGTTCCATGAGGATGTACGGTCAATCAATTGAGAGAGTGGGTCTTCTTCGTCTTGGGCTGCAACAACATTTGTCAACACGCTAATTTTGACTTCAGGATCATCTTGTTCTTGTTCCTTTAAGCTGTATGGAATTGTAGGCCACTACTCCTCTGCTAGCAGAAATTGTGGGCCACACATCCATTGTTCATTCTTGAGGAAAGTTTTTACTCCAAGTCCTCTTGAAGCAATATCTGCTGGATTGGACAGAGTGCTTACATATCTCCATTGAGTTGCCTCAGATGCTTTAAGTATCTCTCCAACCCTGTTGGCCACAAATGTTCTGAATCTGGATGTTTCATTTGTGATGTACTTCAGCACAGAAGTGCTGTCGGTCCAAAAGACAGAGTCGAGTAGTGGCATCCGCAGCTCCTTTCTCCAGAATCTGTCCATACGTGCTGCTACCACCGCTGCCGTCAGCTCCAGTCTAGGAATGGTAATTGGCTTTAATGGAGCCACTCTGGCCTTTCCCATGATGAGATTGCTGCATTGTTTTCCATCAGTGCTGCACAGCAAGAGGTAAGTAGCTGTTCCATAACCCACCTCACTTGCATCTGCAAAATGATGCAGTTGGGCAGAAGTCACAGAACCAAAATCCACTGGCTTAAAACATCTGCTGACTTTGAGGTCCTCAAGTAGATGAAGCTCATCTATCCAGTTGGTCCACTCCTTCGCAATTGGTGTGGGTATAACTTCATCCCACCCAAGACCTTTCTTACACAGATCCTGCAAGATTAGTTTGGCTTTTAGAACCACTGGCACAAGTACTCCAAGTGGATCGTATATTGAACTGACCACAGACAAAAGTCCTCTACGGGTCAAAGGCCGATCTTGGATTGAGATTTTGAATCTGAATGCATCTGATTGCACGCACCATTGTACACCCAGTACTCTTTCAACAGGAAGTAGGCCATGGTCCAAATCCATGTCCTTTATGTCCTCTGCCCTGTTCTCTTCAGGGATTGCACCCAATACAGTTCGACTGTTACTCATCCACTTCTTTAGGTTGAATCCTCCTCTGGCACAAATGGCCTGAAGGTTGTGATAGAGTGCAATAGCCTCAGATTCAGAGGGAACTGAAACAAGACAGTCGTCCACATAGAAGCTGTGCATTATGGTATCCACCACCTGCTCACTGAAGGAGTTTCTATTATCCATATCAAGGCCTTTTCAGTAGGAAAAGTTTTCCTTTTAACAACTTCATTGCAATGAGTGTCATTTACTTGTGAACCAGCCTTTGATCCACTCATATTGATGCCCAACAAATAATGCAACACAGAATTTCAGAAAGCAGGTTTCAGTCCACAAGTCAAACAGGGTTGCGTTTTTTGGCATAAATCTGCATCCATACATGAACAATCCAATATTGCATGTCCACACTTTGATTCAGGCTTAAGCATCAGCAGTAACAGCATCAAACATCCAAATCCAACTTTACTTTGATATGCACAAATGAGTGATCCACAGTTTCCACAAGTTAATTCAGTCTTGAGTAATATAGCTGAATGATATAACCAACAGCCACAGCATCTATGCATCCAAATACGCAGTGGTAACCAGCATCAACTGTGTCCAAAACAGATATGATCTTCACAGTATGAATAAACTGAATCCAACATACCACAGGTTGTGCTGTGCTCCGTCTTTTCATTCACATTTACTCACAGTTTGCGTCCAAAATGGCTTAGTGGTCCATTGTCTTATGTGCACAGTTCAATCAAAGTGTTGGATCTTTTGCCATTTCTGTTGACAATGTAGGCGACTATCATCCAAAAAATAGTCACTGAGAGGAGAGCAGGGATCTGTTTGATGCGCTGAATCCAAGGAGGAAACATAAAGCTTTTCTGCAGTTAGGGATGTTTATTGCACTCTTTTTCTGTGAGGCATTGTACAACAGGTCGATTTGCAGACTTATTTGCTTACAACTTGCGGTCAACAGAAATATTGGCACCCTGTCTTAGCCTCTCTCTGAATCAAACAAACAAAACAGCCTCAGAGCAGATCCAGGTGATATTAATTAGACAATCACTCAGACACATGCCAACACCCACTTATAGCTCCACCCACACATGCCCATACATACCTTTAACACATGCAGCCTACCCTTAGAGACATTACCAAAATGAATCCTTGCCTCTACATATACAATGAGAATAAGTTTTTTATAACCAGACCAAGGAAGTACCCTGTTAATGTATTCTCTGAGAGCAAAGTGCATCTTTCCTCTTAGTTGAAATGCTTTCCTCAGGCTGCAGTTTGGGTCCTCTTGGTTCAAAACTAGTGAAGCCTTCATCTTATTAAAATTGCTCTTGTCTTATAATAGAACAACTACAATACAAGTACGGATTAATTCTTATAATGTGACATTATCATAGTAATGCTTTGATTTTCTCTCTAAATTCAAAAGTCTTATGGCCTTAAAACTCATATTGTGCAGAATCCACTGAACAGATCAAAATAGAAGGTGTTTGAGGAATTTACCATGCTGTGATCATTTCTGCAGAAAGCGTTATCTAGCAGATCATTCAGGTACTCCTCAAGGTATTTCTGCAGAGAAAAGAAATTGGATAATTGTTAGCTAAGTCTGAACCTGACATCTCCAGGAATAAGGCAGATTAAGTTTTAGGGGTTTTTAAGTTTTCAAAAAGAGTGTGAGAGAAACATACCGTCCTGCAAACTTACCACCACAAACTTCAGTGTACTGAACTAAAATGTGTTACATACAATCCATATGGAGGAAGTGTTTTCCTCTCTTACAAATGGGGAAAAAATTACTTCATTTTGGGGGGGGCATGGGTCTTGCTGCTTGTGTGCGACCAAGCTTTTCTCCCACAGGATATCCCAGAACAGTCGCGCAATTGATGAGGATTTGAATGGTCGTTATTTAGCAGGAAAACTCAGAAGATTTTTCATTCCTGCTTTTGGTTGGAATTTTCACCCTTATTTCACTGCAATTGTTGAAACAGGAATCTTTTTTTTTTTCTTGAAATGAGTGTATTTCCCCCTTTACTTGAGCAGGCAAGAATTTGCCAATTAAACGAGATGAATTAGGGTTAAAATAAGAATTTTGTTCTTATCAAAATAAGCTGATGAAATCAAAACTGGTTGAGACGTCCCTTAGCTGCAGAAATCAGTACAGATATCTGTAGAGATGGATAGTCTGAGGATCGGCTGGCAGAGCCTGCGATTAAATATGAACATTGTATGATAACACTAGTAATATTAAGCCTTTTGCTCTCCCATCTTAATCCTTGTCCATCTAAAAAATAAAAATAAAAAAAGACCCTTCTCTCTCTGTGTTGTTTTCTGTTGCAGATCTGATTTAAGCCACAGTGGATATGACATCCTGTGAGTTTGACAGCTGAGTCTCTTGCATATAAAAATTTGAGGCAAACCAACCTTTGAAAAAAACAAATTACTGTTTCTTGTGGAGTATGTCACAATCTTAAGACTTAAAATGTTAGAGAAAAACCAAAGCAGGATGTAGTTTTAAGTGGAAAGAAAAGGAAATCCTGGTTCTCCTTTCCTGGATTCAGAACCTTCTCTCTGCTACGCTTCAGTAAGTTTCAGAACAACCAGCCGTCTTCATAATCCTCCATTATCGATATAAAAGTGTCATCTTCTAATCTCATCTTAAATTCTTAAATCCAAGAACATTTGAAAACAAATATCATCATAAAGCGCTCAGTTAGCTTAGAAGTTTTAGAACAAGTTTGGCTTTTAAAACTGACCCAGGTTGGGACTCCAGTCCCCAGGAAATGTTCTGCAAGCCTTTTCCTTCTTCCTGCTTTCAACACATTCAACAATGATGATGGTGATGGCATTAAAGGGATAGTTCGGTATTTTTGACATGAATCTGTATGGCATCCCGATCACAAGCGGCATGCAATCACACTGACTTACCCCTGGCAGCGTCCTGTGAGCAGAGTTATCGTCCAGTTTTGGTCAAGCCGAAAGTAGTCCTGCAGGTTTTTAGGAACAGCGAAATAAAACTTTTCTCTTCCCAAAACATTATGTGTCCAAAAGAGTGATATTTTCCTCCTTCCGCGGCGGAGGGAGACATGGCTGTTGTTGGGCTCGCTGTCTGAATGACGGCGCGCACTGATACGAACAGAGAGAAAATAGGACCAATTGATAACGACGTGTGACTTTTTCCACTACAATGTTTTTGGGATGCGAAAATATCACTCTTTTGGACACATAATGTTTTGGGAAGAGAAAAGTTTTATTTCGCTGTTCCTAAAAACCTGCAGGACTACTTTCGGCTTGACCAAAACTGGACGATAACTCTGCTCACAGGACGCTGCCAGGGGTAAGTCAGTGTGATTGCATGCCGCTGGTGATCGGGATGCCATACAGATTCATGTCAAAAATACCGAACTATCCCTTTAAGGGCAAACATATATATTAATGAAATATTAGGTATGTTCATTACATGCTTAAAGGGTTATGCATGAACATGAACCTTTAAATATATTATCCTTCTAAATATTTGCATCCAAGTTCTCCCTTTTAATTGCAACACTGCACACACTGAAGTCGCAAAAATGACTAGGTTAATTAATCATGGAGCTCTGCTGTCAAAGAGTGGAAGGAGAGATGAAAACCCTATAAGGTTATTTGACACATGAGTGCACAGCCGTTGACCCTCTGGTTAAATGAGATCAACGCTTTGGTTTACATGTTAAATGGTATGTCTGAGGCTCTAACATGGAACAACGCCCTGAGAAAACAAAACACGGTGGTGTTACCATAATGGTGAAGGGAAGCTTATGCTATCCGGAAAAAAAGAAAACAGCCTTCACAAGATGTGCAGGCAGTATTGGGTCTACTATGGTTTGGTCATTTAACTGCCAAAAACAAAGCTAAACTTGGCAGAGGTGTTAAACAGGGCAGAACGATTACAACAAATCAATTTGTCTTTAGCATTACAGTAAAGTAGAGTATCAGGGCTGTCATAACATCACAGATGACGATGGCTATCCAGTCTCCCATCACATTGAGCTGCTTCCATCATGGCAGAGATACAGACTTCCTTATGCAAAGAAAAATGTGAACAGAATTTCTTTTGTACCCTCAAGGAGCTGATCAAATTGTAAATGTCACAGTCTGTTCTGCTTCCTTTCCCTTCATGAAGTGAATCTGCTGCTGATGCTGTGTCTGCAATTAACTTTTATAATTGTATGTTAATGTATTTTATACATTATTGTCTGTGAGCAAGCCAAAGGAAAATTTATGCCATCATTGTATATGGTAGACGATAAAACTTTTCTATTCTAAAGCCTGAGGTGGTTCTTTAGTAATGAAAACGGGGCTGAATACAAAGGAATGCAAACATTCTGCTGATATTATTTATAAACCAGATCACTTTTTCTTTTCCTTCAGCTTAATGCTACTTAAGGGGTGATCTACAAGCCTTGATATTTTTCTTTCTGCTGAATATCTTTAATGGGCGCAGGTACGGCAGTAGCTCACTTGGTTGCATTCAAAGGTTCTTCTGATAGATTACCGCATCCTGGTGGCATATTGTTTGTTATTTTGTGTTTTCCCCTTCCCAATTTCTTATAAAATAAAGCCCTTTGTGTATTTTTACTTTAACAACAGAGGTACAATACTGCACATGTAAACGCAGTAAAGAAGGAAGTAGCTTACAGTGGCTAAGCTTGTTAGCACCTTCCAGCAAAGTTGTAAAAATGAAGTCCCAGAGGCAGTGTTAAACACAAAATTACATTTGCGAGGTGTTCAGATGTCACTGCTAAGTTGATAGATGTGTGAGCAAACATCCGTATTAATACTGATACTAGTGAAAACAATGTTATTCTTAGTCTCTACAGTCTAACTAGAAATGACATCACATATAGATGAATTGGTTTGTGCCTTGATGCTTTGCCCCCGTGTGCCTTTTTCTCAAGAACAGTAATTTTATTTTTTCTTCATGCTCTAGGAAATTGTGGGGATGATTGACCAAACTTTAAAGTTGATGTAGATCCGTTTATTCAATTAATATTAGTTGGTCTTTCTGTAAAAGTTTAAAAAGCAATCCAGGACTTGGTTTCCAGGGTTTGAAGACCTTGGACCAGTGGATAGTTTTTTTTTTACTTTTACAGAATGACTATGACCTGGATGACTGAGAATCTTCCCCAGCATCAGTTGGTCTTCAACCACACTAGGCTGTCATTTTATTGAAAGGCTTTGCAGCACGGTAAGGCTCCATGAAGTAGCTGCCTTAATTGTCTCCATCTAGCTTTCTGATAGTTCTACTGTATTTCCAGCAGATGGTGCCCTTTCTGTTCATGTCTGCTCATCGCATCCGGTGCTGGAATTCTATTTAGGCTAAAAAAAAAATCTAAATATTATCAGGACAGAAGCTTGGCGTATGTACCTTATTTCAGGATTAAATTAGTTGTGGTCTTTTTTGTGCAAGTATAAAAATTCAGTGTGACTATTATACACTTTATTTTTGCTCTGTTTGTTAGCAAACTTTAAAGGTGCGTTCACACCAAAGCTGAATGCAGAGAGCGGAGCTATTGTAGGTAAAGGAACGACTAAACTCTCAGTTATGTGAAGGATACATTTCGAGCGATTAGTTTGCATTGGAAAAAATGTAATCACATGATAAAGATAAAGTAGCGTGCATGTTGGATTCCTTTGCGTCTCCTCTCTTTTGGCATAAGAGCCCGGACGACAAATGGTTTCACTCCAGTGCATTGTTCTCCGCCCAACCTTATTCTTTTCTTACAGTAGAGAGTGTAGCATTAGAGCATCATGACTGAACATCAGATAGCCAGAGGAACACCAACTGAGAAACAGATGGAATTCCTTTCAAAGACGAATGTGAACACTGCATGGTCAGAGCACTTTGGATTAAAATTCACAGACAGCATTACCCTTTATTGCAAAAATTTCTTTCACCAGCTAGCAGAATATGTTACTGTGACAGGCCAAGTGATGCCAATCTAAAGGATAGCATGAAGTGACACGGTGAATAGGCACGATGGACGCATGGACAGAAAAAATTTGCAGTAGTTGAAAAACCTGAACTTGTTATCCAGTCAGGAACTAGAGATGGTTTTGGTGTAGAGTGAAGGAACCCCGGAGACACCGGGTCCTGGACAGACTGAAGCACCGCTGGAAGGGATCATTGAGCCACAGCTCCTGGACCCAGGGATACCAGCTCCGATGCTAACGTAAACCTTTCCACATCTCATACAGCATCGCGACTCACTTTTTTATGTCTGCTCAAGAGTGTAACAGACAATCTTGTAATACGATAGGAACTATGGTGATTAGTGAAGCGGGAGCTAAAGCAGACAAGGCTATAAGCTGATGGATGCACGGCTAAGTATTGCCAGCAGATGGCGACAAGGGTCAACAGTGTTTATAGCGTGCCCGGTGCAAAAAATATTTTAAAGGTAAAAAAAAACTAAGTAAACACCATCAGTATGGAGGTTTGCTATATGTCGCCTCATTTGAAGATTCATTCTTTTTTTTTTTTTTTTTTATAGAAGTAGTACATCAATACTCGAAACGTCAAAACTATGGATTATTGAATTAGAAAATAATAAGACTAAAGCTAAGGTCTTCACAGCAAAAATGTCTCACTGAACCCTGGTCTATCAAAATATTAGAAAAAAAAAAAGGCTGAAGTTTGTGGTTGTAATTGTTTTTTTTTTGTATTAGAAGCAGCAGCTGATGTTAAATGGAAAATCTTTTGGAAGATTCTGGATACCATTTTGCTTGAGGTTCTTCTGGTGCGCGATGTCCCCTGCAGGCTGGGCATTTCCTCCGACATGGTCCTCAGCTGCTCCCTGTCCTTTGCAAACCTTTGAAGTAAAAAAAAGAGAAGCAATTTGAATATTCAAAGTAATCTGTGCTGAGAGGTCAGACACAATCAAAGCAGCACAGCCTCTCAGTCGCTGCATCCTCGTAACCGAAAGGCTGGTTGTAATATTGAACATCGGCATAGCTGCAGACCTTTTCAGAGGAAAGTAGTGAATCATCATCTTGTGTTTGTACAGGTCTCTGTGAAGTTCTTGAAAGTGTTTGTACTTCCGCTTCACCACCCAGTGGAAGTGTCCATGAGTCAGCCGCAAGGTGTACAGGGTTCCTACACGCACCTGCAGGCACATTATTCAAATCATGCAAATTAGAAGAATGGGTCGGAAAAATAGCAAATATTACAAATGACTAAAGAAAGGACATAAAAACAAAAGAATATCAAATGTGTTTCGTGTAAGGTCCATTAACATCAGTAACATTTATATTAACAGAAATATATTCTTAAAATCGATTTAGTCCTTTTGATCTGCATTTTAAACAAACGTTTCAAAACATTATCCCAGGTGTGATTTAATTCTAAATGTAGAAAACAGAGTTAAATGTATTTTAGTTAACAGTAAAATTATAGTCATTTATTATACCCCTTGACACTTACACCTAAAGAATTTACTCTTTATTTGAGCAGGCATGAGAGATTATCTACCAAAGCAGTTTTTATTCTTAACTGCAAAAATCTTATTCCACTGGCAGCAAATCTTAACTTCCTACTTATTGAAAGGAAAAACACCCATTTAAAGAAAATTTTCTTTATTTTTAGTTGTAGTGTCTTGTGTCACGAGATGCCAAGGTGTTAAAATATCAAAGCTGTACTGAAACTGATTAATTTATGATCAGATTAACAAAACAATTTTAGGAATATGAAAAGGCTATGAAGGAAACCTAAGTATCGTAAGTAAGATTACAACCAGGTGATTCTAAGGTTAAAGCCGGGAAGGACAGAAAACGATTAGAGAGAAGCAGCTGTTGATTGTTTTCTGTGACGTTTCGACCGTCCATCCATTACTCTCTCATTCTCATCCACATCTTTATTTTACTCTATATTTGTATACAAATATAGATATTTAAGTATTTTTAATTATCAAGTGGGAATATTAATGATTCAATTTTGTGATTTATATTGTATAGTTTGTTTTTATTGATTGTTTAAAATAAATGAAAAAGATGCGACTAAACAAACCTTTACAAACCTGAAGCTGAGGTCTTGTTTTACATTTCTTGAAATTGATGTGAGAAACTAAAAACATCTCGTTGTTCATCTACAGCAGTGGTTCCTGAACTTTTCAACCCATGACCCCAAAAATAACAGAATCACAGACTGGTAACCCCTAAATATACATACAATTATTTCATGAAAATATTGAGTAAAGTGATCATATTTATTTCAAATATGTTTATTTTCAAAATTAAATTTAATTCATGTTTTTAAATGTATTTTCAACTGTTAAATGGCACATTTATGTATTCAGTAGTGCATTCTAAAATATTACGGTACTTTTACTGCAGTGTTTGAATCAATTTAAATTACATTTATAATTTAAAATGCAATATCTACATATTTAATGATAAATGTTTTATAAAGAAACCCTTTGACCCCATTTTTGAGACATGCAGTTTACTTGGTTTTTACAGACGGGCATTTCAAGTCCTTGCCAAATGTGGGATACATTTCCTGCTTTTGGTGGTAATCAATATATATATATATATATATATATATATATATATATATATATATATATATATATACATATTGAAACAATTTTAAAAGCAAAAGCTTCTTTTCACAAAATTTTAAGTCAACAAAACTAACAAAAAATTGCTTTTCAGATTTTATGGGGGGAGTTTTGTTCCATTATTGTTCAAAGCCAAGTTGTGGTGTAAATAGAAAATTAAGAAAAAAAGGCTATATATATATATATGGAAATAAATGAGTAATAAAACAAAAAAACTTCAAAAATCAAAAGCAAGGATTTTAGAGTAACTTTTCTGTTTTCTTATATTTTTTAAATCATCTTTTTTATTCCTTTTCTAAAATGTATCTTTTTCTGATAAAGTTTTGCGTATTGCATTCTTTTCTTGTTGCATTTTAGATTCACGTTCTCTGTACTTTAGACAAAATGCAAACACCCATGACCAATAAAAGTGTTGCTATTGTCCAGCAGACCAATATAAATTCGTCTTTGCTCCTCACTCTATAAGAAAGCCTCAAAAGTGAAGAGAATGTGTAAAGTCAATCAATCAATTTACAAATAATGCGATTTGTAAAACTCAATCCGAAAAAAAATAAAAGTAAAACAACAAATATATAAATAAAAAAAATGGAAAACAATGTGACATAAAAAAAAGACAGAAAAAGATTATAAAGTTTTTAAAAGTTTTATTTCTGGATTTTTTTTTTCAAATTTCCATTGAAAAAACCCGTACTTTGCTTGCAACAATAATGGAACAAATTTCTCTCAATAAGATTTGACTTAAGGAATATTAACAGGTGTACCTTTGAGCGGGTGGTGTATTTCTCTGTGTTGTCCACCTTACATGTAATAGGAGTATCAGGCATCAAGTAAGGCACACCAGCATCTTTGATTTCAGACAGACGGTGGATGACTATGAAAGAACGTCCCTCTGGAGGATGGACAACAGAAAACAAAGGTTGGTGAAAGGGTCCATGCCTGGCATGAAGCCTTCCTCAGCAGCCAGGTCTTCCTCCTTACCGCTGCTCTTCATGAGGCTGTCTAACTCGTCTCGACCAAGATCGTGGCGGTCATGCGAGAAGCGCCTCTTGTTGAGTGCCGGTACAGCTGAGCGCACGGCCTCTGGCTCGATCACTTCCTCCGGCTCGGCCATAGCGCGGGTGTTGAAGGTCCCAGCTCGCCTACTGTATGAACAAAAATACAGTCAGACCAAAAACAAGGAAAAGAACAAGATCAGATTCTTTCAATGGATCTGGGAGGGTTTGAGATTAAATTCAGCAGATTCCTGTTTTAGCTGCACGGGTCTAAAATTATATCAGTTTTGAGTTTTTTTCCCCAGATTAAAAACAACCGTGGTGAAGACGTGCAGAAGGTAACCTCTAGTAGAGTAACAGCAGTGCTACCCCAACCTGTTGCTAAACACTGCCTGTCAGTTGTCTGAAACAGGGTGCAGAAATTTATTTCCAAAATAAATAATATATTGATGTACTAGAAACTGTGGTTGAAACACAAGCTGTTTAATGCAAAAGTTGACCTACATTAATAAGATGAAAGAAAAAGCTTCACCATTTTCCTGGTCAACAATCTTTCTACTTCTAATACCATTATTATTAATAATAATGATCAGATTATGATTGTATAATGAGGTAAAAAAAAATTAAAGCACACCTTCAGAATAAATGTTAAAATAATGTATAGCCTAATAAATGTTTGCTCAATTATTCTAATCATAATCAGAGTTTTAAATTAAAATATCAAATGTGAAAAATGATTATTTTACAGAAACCAACATGGTCAGCTCCCGTCTGTCTTTCTGGGAAGCTGAGTAGCTTATGAAAACAGACCAGCGCTGCTAACTTAGCAAGTTTGTCGCTACAGTTCAGAGACTTTTCAGTAAACAACCATTAGAAATGGATGATTGAAAGTTAAATGAGAGAGAGAAGAAAAAAAACTGATCAATCGGATTTGGTGGCAACTATACAGGAAACAAAAATAAATAACAGGTTTTTATTTTTTTAGCTTTTAAGCCATATCGCTCAGCCCTACTGTTAGCTAAAGAGCTACAAAGACCACTCTAATGTGCACAATAGAGAAAATCAAAGAGGGATCAGGATAAACATTTTAGGAATAAGGAAATCTAAATGCTTCAAATTTGCTTCTGAGTTACAGTTTCAAAAGAAAAACACCTGTTGCCTCCTTTTGGATCTTTTTTGGCCATTTTATTTTAGACAGTAATTGTTCATTTAACTAGAATCATTTATTTAACTATAGGAATAAAAAAAAAAACTTTGGAATAACAGGATTTAAATGTCTTCGATCTGATTCAATCTATTTCAATAAATGATATCCAACAAAGATATCAGGTAAAATTAACATTCATTTTCCTAATTTGTGGTTTGACATAAAGCTATGCCATTTAGTTGTGAGGATGGAGAGAAACAAGAAGAGAATAAAGGATCAGGACAGAAAGGTGACGGGTTGGTCTAATGTTAGCTGGAAACATAGGAGCAGCTACTTAATACCAACTGATTCCTTGTTTAATAACGTTTTTATGGAAAAAGTGCATTAGCAAGATGTGTCATTTATTTCCTGCTGTTAAGTATTGTTTGACTATGTGACATAATGTAGAAGATTAAAAGCTTTGGGGGAGGGACATGGACATGAACCCAGACAAAAACCCAGACAACCGTAGGGTTGCTGATCACCTTTATTGTGTCTTTTAAGGGAAAATGTTTGCAAGCAGACATGAAAATGCGGGAAAGAGAGGTGCAGATGAGAGAGTGAACAGAAAGTCTGTCATAAAAGTCTTGTGTTAATACTCCATAACAAAGATTAACAGACGTAAACGAAAAAGGAAAACACCGGTCTCATCGTTTATTTGCAGTTATTTCTTCATGAGTATACAGATCACAATCTTATGACCAGGGCTGGGTATTTTCGCCAAAGTCCTGAATCGATTCGATTTTGATTCATACAGTTTTAAATTGATTAATTTGGATTCGATCTGTTCAACTGTGTTTCAAAATACTTCTTTTTCCCTGTCATATTAAATAAAGTGAAAACTTTTAAATCAGTTTAAACTTGAGATGTGAACAAAACTGTCTCAAAAGTGCAAACTTGTTTGTGAAAAGTGAAAAAGTGAAGCCTCACTCGAGCATGCAGATGTGTCACAGCAGACATGCATGAGCTGCATTACCTTCACTGCACAAACCATATTTTGCAGCGTTGTCTGTAACAACTACAGTGTGTTTTCTGGTCAGCCCCCATATTTTAATGTCTTCAGTCAACCTATTGGCTATATTTGCAGCTGTCTGGCTTGAAGTCATCTTTAATGCATCTTTCCTGCTCATTTGAATCTGAACGTCACGCGCATCACTATAAAACTAATCGATCTCATTCCCTAGACATCGATTTTGCAAAAATTTAAAAGGAATCGATCCAAAATCGATTAAATCGATTTTTTTACCTAGCCCTACTTATGACCAAACTGCGCTAATTTATGGGTGAGGATCATATGCAAATGTAAAAGCTCACTGCGAATAAAGAAATTTTTCAAAACAGAACCTCAACTACAGCCAGTTTTTAGAACTTTTTTAGCAGCTCTGAAAGTCAGTTACAAACTCACAAGTGGCCATGAAGCAGGATCAAATTAATGCAGCTTGATGGCAGACAATTTTTATGCAATTAAACCAAAATGAAGAAAATGACTTAAATTAAATGTTGTTGCATGTTTACATGAAGAAGAATATTACAACCTACCAGATAACATGCATCACATAGCCTTTAAAGAGAGACAGATGAGGTGCTAACAGTAAACATCTGTTACTCTTGGCAAGAGTTTTTTTCCCCCTCCCTAGATGTTCTTTAAAGAGACATAGACCAAAAACTATCTGATCCTGATAAAATCAGGTTCCTTAGACCTGGACTGTTGAAATGCATCATTTTATATGAGTGTTTGAACGTCTAGTCAAAGTAGAGGACTTAAAATTTCCCACAATGCACCTTGAAAGGTAGTGATCATCCATGGTCACTAGATGAGCAGATGCATCCCAAAATGCTTTGCAAGAGCTCTCCTTACAAAAAGCATGATGGGATTTGTTTGGGGCTGAGAGAGAACAAAGATGGACTTTCAAAGATGAAACAGACTAATAATAGCATTTCTATCACTAGCATCAGTAAGGATGTTTACTCAAACATCCACCAACTTAGCAGCTACATTTGAACTAAGGTTGTCTGCATCCAATATTATCGGAGATCTTTCGGATAAAAACTAACTTCGGTAAAAAATAATATCGGATTTAATCTGTGGGCATCTAAAATCTGCATTATTTTCATGCTGATGGAAACACTTCATTACTCATTGTTTAATCTTACAAGGATCAGTGGGTTTCATTCCTTGTGTTGTTGTCTTTTGTTACTTGTTTAAGTAATATTACCTGATCAAGCCTTTAATAACATCCTACAGTATAAAATCAGTATTTAATGCCGGTATGATTCATGCTGTATCAGGTCAATATCGATATCGACCAATTCTCAAAGCTGAAATATCAGTATCTTAAATCAACAAGTAGCATCGGGACTAAAAACCAAACATCAGACTGCATTCCCAGCATTGTTCCAGTCTTATCCTTCTTGAAACAAATATGCTTTGCTTGTTTTTCCCCCACACTGTCACAATAGGGGTGGAGGATTGATTGGGTTAAGGTGATTACTTGAATGTTTAATAATATAAAAGGGTAAACAGAAGCAAAAATCCAAAAACATAAATCCACAAAAATCCCAAAATGCTGAAAACCAAGAAAAGTCACAACAAGAAGGGGAAAAAGTAATGACGACAAACCAGCAAAGAGTGACTGAACAGGAGGAGAATAAAAGAGGGAGAGAAAAAAAGACCAGGCTAATTAGCAGATTGTGAGCAGGTGTGAACAGAGGAGGCAAGAAGGGAGCTAGGGAAAAGGAGACTGACACAAGAGGGCAAACAAGAAATATCTAAGAACTCAAATACAATCAAAAATACCTAGAACACAAGAATGGAAATAAGACCAAAGAAAACTGAGATAAAACTTGAACAAAACCATGATACACACTGCATCTTGGACTAGTCTTTAGTATGTCCACACTGGGATGGGAGGTGCTAACTAGCTTAGCTGCAGCGGGCTACTTCCTTGTAAATCCCTGCACACGTGTGTGGTATTGTACCTCCTTTCCTATTGTAAATAAACACAGCAGCAGGATGCTGCTGGCCTAATCTTTCTAAAAAGAAACAAAAAAAAACTTTTTATACAACCAGAGTGAGCTACTGGTGTATAATTAAAAATTTCATAACATGACAATGTACCTTTAATGGGATGAGCATGAAGCACAATTACATTTTAGGGTTAGCCGACTATTTCGCTGCTGTATGTATAGATGGTAACAATGAGCTGTATTTTGCTACAGTGAAACAAAATTTAAAAAAGATGAAAATGTAATAAATATCAGGCCATTTGAGATGCCTGGATCACATCAGCATCTAGTTACTCCAATTCATCCCTTAGCTCTGCCTCAGGGAACAATGAGACCCCTTCAAAAAGACGTAATAACAGTGTTAAGACTTAGCGTCACCAGACTAGCTGTAACGAAGCCCAGTGACGCAGTTTCAGTGTCTGAACAATTAGATAAATTATAATTAGATAAATCATCTGACAGTGACACAGGGTCCCAATGTGAGTCTAATCACAGAGGAAAAAGAAGAGAAACCATTAAAACCAAAACAATCTGCCTCCTGACAACCAAAAGCAGCCAATGCCATATTTAGACCCACCCCCCTACAAAAAAACAACAGAAAAACTGAAGATCTTAAACAGCAGGAACCACCTTCAGATCAACAATACGACATATGAGACATGTAGAACGCCGTGAGAGAATAAGGGTGTGTATCAGGCCGTTAGCAGTGTGTGTGGGTAGATGTCTTTGAATGGCTGTTTCCTGGGAAACGGGGCAACAGGAAAGGAGGGTGTGTGTGTGTTAGACGGTAAAAGAGATGCCGAGAACCGTGGTTGAAATCTAGCAGAACTACATCTATTTATCCAAGCCCTTATCCAGGAAATGTGTGATTATGTCACAGCTTTTCCATCTTAAACAAGTTCAAACATTACAATAAAAAAAAAAAAAAAAACACACACACACAAATGGGAGGCTGCTTAATAGACAGGAAATGAATTGCAGCCACAAAGGCACTAAACCTTTTAGAAATCTGAGCCACAACAGGGGAAAAAAAAATCTGATTTATGTATTTTGTTTGTTTCTTAAAAAGCCCTTCCACTTGTGAGAGATGACTTCATACCCTCCTGCTCTACAGTAGATCTGGCCCAACAATTTCACAGATGGGACTCTGCTTAAATGCGATCTACATGTATGTACATTTTTGTGAAAAAACAAAATGGAGGTTTTGTTTAGACATTTATAGGGATGCACCCATCTACTACCAATATCTAAGTGTGTGAAATGATACGACACTCATCATGATACATGTTTAAAAAGATGATTTATCTCAATACATTAAAGACAATATATTGCAATTTACAATAATATGGCTGGAAAATATGAGATCCTGTTGTTGCTCTGCTGCGGCTGATTAATAGGCTCAGGTGCAGTGCGCTGACACCTATTGGAAAGAGGTTAAGGAGTTATATAAAAGTAAGACAATGAAATGGAGTTTTGTCAATACATTGTTTTTACATTTAAAGGTATAGAGGATGATGTTTTATTTCCGGGTGGATCATCTATATAAGTGGTCCTCCTAATTGTGTCATTCTGGTGATATGTTTACCTAAGGCCGTTCTACGAGCTCATCCTCAGTTAACTATCTTTTTGTGTGCATGCTCACTTTCAGGCATATATCTGTGGTGAGCTACGGTGTCAGGCAATGGTTCTTTGAAAGAGTCAACAAAAAGTGTATGAGAAGAAAAGAAAGGCCTCAAAAGAGGCATATATATCCCAGTATGCTTTGCGTTTTCCAATAAACATCACAGGTCATGTATCGGCTATTTGTGGAGCTAAAATAACTCCTTACAGACTTTTCATTATCTGCCAATTGCATTTATGTCTGACAGTAGGAACTCACCATGCAGAAGAATAAGCAGTTCCCACCAAAAGGTCTGAAAGGATTGTATAATATTTAAACTACTGATATATTTGGATTTGAGAATCAGATTTTAGAGCCTAAACTTCTGTTACTGAAGGCACCAATATTTAGGTAATTTGCTCAGCAAATCAATAGAGCTTACAGAGAATAAACAGGGAAAACTAATTAAGCCAACTGTAAAGCCATGAATAGGAATGAATAAAATAATATTTATCTTTTAAACTTGCAAAATTCAACTTTAAATGACACACAGTTGGAGTGACTTTTCCTTAAGGATACTAGAGTAAAAGGGAGTGAATATAGGTGCCTGCTGCACTTTTTAAATTTGTAATTGTGAATTTTTTTTTTACTTTACGTTTTTGAACAGTTTGTATATCATATCTCAATCCAATATTTAAAAGTTTGAGCTGTGATAAAAATGGGAAGGTTTCCTGGGATGTGTGACAGTTTAACATGTGACTGTATTTCTGCATTTTGCCTCCACTGTTCTGGTGGGGGGGGGGAAGCCCTTACTTTGGACAAAAGTGTTGAAACTAAACCTCGACATTTCTGGTAAACCTAGTCTGCAGATTTAGAAGACAACCTTGCTTAAACTCTCCTCTAGACGTGACTAAAGCAGCATGCGCCGGTTCAGCTCTGAAGAGCGAAAGTAAAACCTTTTATCCTCGCAGAAAGATCATTTCCCTGGGAAAGAAATCACCTGTAGACCCAACATGATTTTCCTGTTTAGTTTTTTTCTTTGCTTTCTCAGGTTACATGTTAGCTAAACACTTATAGGCACCTTTGACATATTGAGACAAGCCCCAGGGGAATAATACAAGATAAACCTCAGAAACTTTTCCCATGAATCCAACTGTAGCAGACCTGATTGTTCTAAATGTTTTCTGAAACAGTTTTTAACAAATAAAAAAAAAAACATGCATAACATTTTCTTCAAATAAAAATCCCCAAATTTGCTAAGAATCCATTTCCTACCAATGACCTAAGCAGAGGTTAGCCTGTTCTGCAGGATCCATCACACCTGGGTGTGGTCACAGGGTGACACTGACAAGGGACTATAGACCTTAAGAATTCAGACTCTTTGCTAAATGGTTAATTCTATTGAGATCAGTGTTGGTTGTCACGTTCATCCTTTCTGAATAGCCCACTGCACTGTAAAATAATTTTTCAGCAGACACGTTATAAAAACCCCAACAAAAATTAAAGCTCTTTGGTTAAAATATTAGTTTTGTGATTTTACAGATAGAATTTACTTATTCATTGAAAATAATAAAATGTAGCATTCAGCTTAGCTTTTAGCAACCCAATCCATTTGATGTGTCGTCACATGAAAAAGCATTTTTAATGGATTAACGGAAATAAATCAGGTGATTTCAGTTAGAACCTCTTATGCTACAAGATTAGAACAAACCAGTGCATTTATCATGAGAATGTTCATTTATCCATCCTTTTTTTTTAAAAGCCATTTAGTCTATAAATGTAAATTTAAATACGACTGGTGTTTTTTAAATTACATTTTAATGTATTTATCCTGCAATTTTAATGATTTTAATTCTATAAATATGTTGCATCGGTAAATTAAAATATTTAAACATTTAAATTTTAACTTTTTTTTCTTCCCTCATTAATATAATATAACATAATATAATATAATATAATATAATAATGGTGTAGGTTGTCACAGATGAACATGTTTTTATGTAGTGATCAACTTTTTAATAGATATGGGATTTTAAGTACTTTGTCCTGATATAAAAATTACGTCTTAAAAATATATATTTTTTTAATTTTATGTTTTTAAAGAATTTTGGACAATCAAGAAAAAAAAATGCATATTATAATCTGCTATACTGGAAGATTTTCATTCATTTATCAATAAAAGGAGGGGAAAAACGCCACCTAGTGGTGACAGTAAATAAGTGTTTCCCGTTAAATCCTACGAGAGTAACATAAAAAAAGTAATAAAAACGGGGCAAAGTCAGCTCCTAACTGGAGTCAGCAGGAATAAATCCACCTTTCTCCAAGTTAAACTGTGTAACTTTAAATGCTTTAAAATAAAACATCAGTTCGGTAAAAGCTTTTGTAACAGAGCTGATCGGAGTTTGGATGGAGTTCTCCATGTTTTTCTTAAAGCTCATTTAACCATAAAATACACAGCGAATAACAGCGGCTGGGAGGGACTTATTTTTCTACAATGTTGGACTTTTCTAGAAGTGAAGTTTCTCTCCCCCGTCTCCACCCAGTCCTCCCCGGGTTCCCTTCCCTCCGACATCAACGCCACACCGAAGAGCAGAAATGTCACGCGGCGGTATTGATTCTCGGCTTTTTTTTTTTTTACAGGATAAGCAGTGAATCTGGATGACGGCTATATTTTCGTATCTCTGAGTGTAAAATCTGCTGTCAAGTCACCGCGACAACCCAGCGAAACGGGCCTAAAAATCTACTTACTGGTGTTTAATGACAGCCGCGGCTCCAAGATCCACAGCAGGGGTTTAAAATCTGCTCGTTCAGACCATAATTTAAATGTAGACAGAAGAATGTTCGCCTGCAGATGATGAAGCCCGCCTTTAGTCCCTCCCATTGGCTAAATACTGCATGATGTGATGGAAGACCTCAGCGGAGCTTTACTATGGGGAGATTTCACACTCATTTTATTCATTAAAGCAAAACTAAACCTGATCATTAAGAGGAAATCACTTGACTTTTTATTGCACACACACACAAAAAAAACTAGGATGGATGGAAAGGTCCCGCGAGAATATGAAAAGCTACACGGGATATGATCAAGTCTCGACCTGCGTGCGTTGAGCACACATGCACAAGAATGTGAAGCTTTGATGTGAAGGCGGTGCAGTGACGTCATAACTGGGACCATGTGACATCCGACTTCTAAACTCTTTCTAAATGAAGTTAAGATGCAGTTTTTCAAGTTTGCTCTTTAACAACTATTTAACACGGATTCAAATTAAGCAACTTAGATTTAATTTAATCTTAGTCAAAGATTATTATTATTTTTTTTTTCAAGAATTATTCAAAGTGACTTGATAAGTAGTGTTTCAGTCAAGACTACACCAACCGAGACCAAGTAGTATCAAGGCCCTCTAAAGGTCTTGGCCTTTTCTTGGTCTTGGTTGATGTGGTCTTGACTACAACATCTAATGAAAGTGAAGCAGCCACACCTTAAAATGCATGTAAAGAGCAAGGCATAAACAAACTTAGCGACTGCTTAGGGCCCCAGAGCCAGAGGTGTAGCCAGTAAATGTTAATAAGGGTGGCCAGGCAATAAACAATGTATACTGAGGGGTGGCCGAAAGCGGATATGGTGCCAGAGCCTCAGGGTCAATCTACACTGTTCAAAAAGAATAATGAAGAATCACAACATCCATATTTTCTAAATAAAGACAAATTATACTTTCCTAAAGCCTTTGCTAACAAATAGATGCATATATTTAAACATCCACGCTGTCTAAATTAAAGGTGTAGTGGACAAAATTCTTTCAGTTTGGAGTTCTGGGGCGAACATCTTATTAATTATCATTACTTACCTACTTTTATTAATAATCATCTTGCATAAAATTAATATTTACATGCACTAATATCTGCATTAAATTGATTACTTATTATTAAAGTAGTTATTTATCTCTGATTTCAATGAAGATTCCTAGATAACTTGCAGAGACATAATTTTCTCTTTATCTCATATAAGACAAACTCTAGCTCTGAAAAGAGCATGAATTCTGTATTTATCATCTTTAATGTTAGTATATTGATGTGCATAATTAACCACAGTGTTTTTGTTGTCAGGTAATTGTTTACATATAGAAAACTAAAATGTTAAATAAGTTAAAACATTCCACGTGAGAGTATTACTGCTGCCACTGTCTGTATTAGAGGGAAAAAACGGTACGGGTGATTGGGTAAGGGTGGCCATGGCCACCCCTGGCCCCCCATCTAGACCCGCCCCTGCCTAGGGCAACTCGCCTCGCCATATTTTTCATATATTTAATCATTTTTTACTTATACATGAACAAAATATATATTGGAGGGTTAGGGTTAGAGAGGAAAACCTTCTTAAAGCACAGTTTAGCTAATTTACGCCCCTCCCTCTATCAAAATGAGATCAGAGTTCTTCCTGAATCCTTGGGTCGCTCTCAGGATGGCCTGTGCTTTCCCTGGCAGCCCCAGCCCAAGCCTCCCCCTGTTAAAAAGTCTAAAGTACATTTCAAAATGCAGAACTATGATAATTAAACAGAAAAACAGTACAAAGTGTGTTTTCCACTGTGTCCGAACGTCCGCTCTAATCACTATATCTGGCACTATATGGTGGTTACACCATTTTAAATGAGTGTCAGAATGCCTAGTGGATTAAAAACTAACTGACTAGAAATTTCCAACAATGCACCTTTATTGATCAGTCATGGTCACTAGATGAGCAGGTATATCCCAGAATGCTTTGCAAAAGCATCATGGAATTTGTTGTCACAGCGACTAATAACAAATATGATTGAGGGATTTAGAGGTTAGGGCAGACATTCAGACAGTCTGAGTATATCTGTGCCAAACAGGACTGTTTACCATTAAATTGGAAAACCGTGCATAGAATAGCAGGACCCCATTTCACTAAACCTGAATTTATATCTTACAGAGTAAGAGATAGAGTCAGACTTGACAAGGCAGACCCTTAACGTCCGCCCTAACCCCTAAATGCCTCAATCACTATAAAGAGCAGGGAATGTATAGTAGACTTTATAGTGAACCCAGTTAACTGACAGTTCAGACAGATGATCACGACTTTTCACTCCCATAATTTAAGGAGTAAATTGTAATTTTTCTCAAATGGAAAACTTTTTATCTAAAAATAACCAATGAAAGCTATTATAGTAACGTGCAGTTCATTTAGACTTAGACTTACACTTGACTTTATTAATCCCTTGGGATTACTCCCTTCGGGAAATTGTATATTGTATATTTATAGGTTTATATTGCTTGTATGTTCCAGCATTCAGTGTTTCTGTGCCGTACTGGTTTAAGTCTTTGCCTTCAACGCTGTCGATTTGGGTTTAATTCATAAAAGTTATCTAGCATTAAAAACTTGAATCAAACAGCAGATATGATTTATAACTTTTTTTGGTCCTACATTCAATTGTTTCCAAGATTCAGGCCAGGGGAAAATGTCCCTTACTTTGGGGGTCCTGTTTTAGAAGGGATGGGGTTGAATGGGTTTGGAAGCAATAAAATGTGTTCAGATAATGAAATTCACATAATAAATCATGCATTTGACAGGCCTAACCACTACTCGCTCTGACCTGAGCTTTGAGATTCTCTGTTAACTAAATCTCCTTCATGTGCTCCAGAGGAGGAGGTTTGTCTTAATGTGTGAATAGCTTTAGGGAATCCTGGATTAGGAATAGTCCAGTTTTTCCTCAGTTTCTCCTGTAATCTGTAGCCTAAATAATGTTCCAGTCAACACAGTAGAATCTCTCCTTGATGTAGTTCATTCTTCTGTGGCTGGGAGGGTATGAGGATGTGTGTTTATCCTTTTAATGCCAAATACACACTTCTGATGTGATAAATAGTCTTTCCTTAGATGTTCAGCATCTTCCCCTGCAGACAGAAGAAAACCTCTAGCAGAAAATCACTAGCAGATTATCTGTGTGGATCAAGGGATAGTTTTATTTGTCACCCTGTCTGGAACATGCAGAAGAAGATTAGGGCCACTTGAAAAAAGAAAAAAAAAGTTAACTGATTCTGAGTTTAATCTCAGAATTCTGACATTTTTCTAAGAATATTATTTTAATCTCAGAGATCTTACTTTCATCTCAGAATTCTGACCTTAATCTCAGAATTCTGATTTTAATGTCAAAAATATTACTTTAATCTTAGAATTCTGACATTTTTCTTAGAAATATTATTTTGATCTCAGAGATTTTACCTAAATCTCAGAATTCTGACCTTAATCTCCGAATTCTGACTTTAATGTCAGAAATATTACTTTAATTTCAAAATTCTTATTTCAATCTCAGAAATTTTACCTAAATCTCAGAATTCTGACCTTAATCTCCGAATTCTGACTTTAATGTCAGAAATATTACTTTAATTTCAAAATTCTTATTTCAATCTCAGAAATTTTACCTTAATCTCAGAATTCTGACTTTAATGCCAAAAATATTACTTTAATCTCAGAATTCTGCCATTTTTCTTAGAAATATTATTTTAATCTCAGAGATCTTACTTTAATCTCAGAATTCTGACCTTAATCTCAGAATTCTGACTTTAATGTCAAAGATATTACTTTAATCTCAGAATTCTGACATTTTTCTTAGAAATATTATTTTAATCTCAGAGATTTTACCTAAATCTCAGAATTCTGGCCTTGATCTCAGAATTCTGACTTTAATGGCAGAAATATTACTTTAGTCTCAAAATTCTTATTTCAATCTCAGAAATTTTAGCTTAATCTCAGAAATCTTACTTTAATCTTAGAATTCTGACTTTTTTCTCAGAAATCAAGAATTTTCTCAGAATTCTGACATTTTCGCAGAAATCTAACTGCAAACAGTAATTCTCACGCAGATAACTGTTGAAAATTGTTTAAATATCTGCATTTTTCTATTCCCCTCAACACAGCAATAATCTATTGAATGCTTTACTGCCAAATTTAGAACAAAAACAGTCTTTAAAAACACATCAAACAGTAATAATTTCTTAGGCTTAATTAGGTCAGGATATCCAGAAAAGTCTAGACTTGATTTCTTATGTTGGTTTTATAAAATGGGCCTCATATGCAAAATGTCTCACTCATAGCGAATGAGAATTAAAATTTTGGATATAGTATTAATATGGAGTCCTTAAAGCACAGCCTCTACCACAGAGCTAATACCTCATCAATTTAGAACAAAGTGAGACCAAAGTCTGACTGTGTAGACTTTGGTTGTCTCTGTGCCTAACAGGATTGGGAAATACCATTTAAATAGGCCAACTTATTTAGTTTCCATTTATTCTGTATTTTCATACATAATAAATACAATGACAATGTATCTTTTCTTTTCTTTTCTTTTCTACTTCTTTTTTTTTTTTTTTTTGCCAATTTTAGTACCGGTAATATAAAGTAGAAAGGTATGTGTGTCTTTCAGCAGCATAACCACAGACTTACAAAAATAACACTTGGTCGGAACATTTTAATAAAAATGAAAGGTCTGAAGCCTGTTCTTCAAAATAAATGCAGTGCTACTGAGCCTGATAACAAAAAGACTTCCATCACCTTCTACTTTTCCAGGAACCTGGCAGTCTGAGAGTCAGGAACTCTGATAGGAACCTATGAAACAGTTGGATCTCAGATAAGATGGAGGCTGATTAATACTGCCTCTATTCCTATACATATAAAACATGATTTACATCTAAGCCACAGAAACCATTAGACATTAAGCAACAGAAACTAAGATTATAGAAGAAAATTTGGCAGTCTTGGTGTAGTACAGCTATTTACCACAAGAGGGCGGTAGGAACATTATATCTCTTACAGAGCCTTATGAGGTTTATTTACAGCAGAGGATTAAAAAAAAAATGGGGTCTGAACCCAGAATCCTTAACTCCTTTTTTTTTTCTTTTTCTTTTCTTTCTTTTTTTTTTTTTTTTTTTAAAGAAAAATGAATAAAACATCACTGTA